CCCCCCCCCCCCCTAAATACGCCACTGATAGGGATCCACACTCCCAAGATAGTTAAACAGACTGCGTTTCAAAATGTTCCATCTTAGTTCAAGCGGCTTGTGCTGGAACCATCTTCAAGCAAGAGGTACAAATTTAAATTAAGTAGAAACTTTGGTGTTTTATTCATGAATCAATGAAACCTTTAGAAGTCCAGCATGTACTCTAAAACCATGAATGGTTTCTTATGATGCCTGTTTTTAGAGAGTATAGTAAACATGCATTTTATAATATTCAAAACTCTTGATGTTTTTGTTTTCAATAGCTCTCATTGAAACTATATAGAGCTAATTGAAATTGTAGATTTGGTGATAACAAATAATATAAATAATTAGTTATGGAGATAAGACCAATAACCGCATTTTTCATTCAAATAAAACTTGCGTCTGTTTCAGAAGTTTTATCTGAATGCCATGTTTATTTAATAACAAAACACGAAAAGTTCATTTAGAAATGTTTTTTATATCATTGATAAGTTGTGTAGTCGTTTTATCTGTACGTGTAATTGGAATATATACCATAATCCATCCGATAGTTGTTCAATTTTAATGAAAAATTTGAATGTCAATGCCAATTTGCTCGTCAATTTAGCATTTTCATAGTCATTAGTTGCTTTTTTAGTTCGACAAACAACTGAAATGGTGACTATAATGAAACTCATTACACTCCATTTGTGATTCTTCCTGACATTTTTTTAAACGAGCAATTCGTTCTGCACGATCTTGTGTATGAGAACAGTAGCTAGAGCCGTTTGTTGCCAACGAAGTAGTGCTAAGCTGTTGAGAAGTTTTTATAATTGCTTCCGAATCTGTCATCTTATGAGAAAATGTATGTTAATTGATAAACTGCGACGTAAAATGAATTGAGCAAAACGTATTTTGGGTGTGGATGTTGGTGAGCCGGTATAGATCTTCTTGTCACACACCCACACACACACACACACACACAAAGTTTGTGATCGTTTTCGGTGTTTAAAACGCTATATAAAATATATATGAGATTGATGCAAATTTCTCAGTGTCTACAATTCATCAGATAAAATCTACAATTTTGATCAGAAAATAAAAGAGTTTCTCTTGGGACGGAAACTTGTTTCCACTTCGTCTCATGTTACGTTATTCGGAATTTTGGTGCATAGCATTATTATGAAAGACCGATCTTTGTAGACTGTTTGAATGAGGGGATTACTCACATGGCCTATTTCAAAAAGGATTTAATGATAATGACCCTACTGATATCTGCAATCTTCAAGAAAAACAAATTTTCAATATAACTACTGGAAACGTTCATTTTTCGTACAAGTTATCAAGGTCAATTTAACTAATATCGGAAGTGAATGACAATCAAGCAATTCTGTTGAATGCTTAGCATGTACGCATATTATATTATTAATAATATTCTCGACAATATATTGATCTCTCTTTTGTGTTTTTTGCGTGAAAATATCTATAAATAGAATTTATTAAGCAGCAGAACTTCATCACGATGACTTTCTGCCATTGAAGTGATTGTTTTGTACTCTGTGGCACATTGTTTCTCTTGTGAAGAATAACGCTTAACATTTTCATGTCGCTATAAGAAAAAATATTTCATCGTAGATCTTTATTAACAGTCTCTAGAAGTAACAAGTTAATAAAGATATCAATGTGTCCACGAATTCACACGAGAATAAGATACATGAATTTTTCTTATATAGAATCTAGTCATCGTATGCTAAGCATTGATGCAATCAACTGAATAATGTTGATGACCGGAAAACTGTTTTTCTCGGATAGTGCGCACGATGAGTTTGAGAACGAAATCCGACACTATTCAGAACAACATTTTCTTCAATGCTACAAAACTTGTACACGTGTGACGATTCAAATAACAAATGTCACCATCAATCATCTCATTATCAACAAATTATATCAAATAATTAGTCTAAAATAAAACTTTTAGACAAAATCAAACGATTTAAAAAAAATATTTCTACATGAAAAAAAAGGAAACAAGAAAAAAATATTAATATGAAAAAATTCTTAATTTCTGTTTCGTTTAGCTGAATAGTGTTGGGCGAAAGAATTATGTGTAGATTGCGGAAATAGTAAACGTTTAAATGCTGTTCGAAATTCAACATTAAAAACCGTATAAATCAATGGATTACAAGCACTATTTATATACCCAAGCCAGAGAATAAGTGTAGGTAATGGTTCCTTCATATACAATGACACATCGATAAAAGCGGATAGAATATAAACCACAAAAAATGGCAGCCAACATAGAAGAAAAACACTGATAATAATTCCAAGTGTTCGTGATAGACGGCGTTCGCGTGTTAGAGAAATTTTCTGTCGTTCATTCATCAATGTTGCTAGACTTTTGCCTTTGAAAAGACTTCGGCGGCCGATTTCTTTTGATGCAACACGTTTTTTATTCGAGAAATCCGTAGTTTGTACAGCAGCATGTTGTTGTTGAACGAGAAAGCCATTTTCGATATTTTTTTCATCAGTTGGATATTGTCCAAATAACGGAATTGCTAATGCATCTGCAGCTAAATAAATAATTGAATTTTTCTATTGAAAGTTAAACTATTTTTTTCTTCTTTGAAATCGAGAATAAACAAGGGAAGACTTCAAAATCTCTTTAAAACAGTTTCAATGCTAATTTTCTCGAGAAACACACAGTTAAGATTTCATAGGTCTTGCGCAAGAGAAAAAAAGTCTACCTTAATCCTTACCTTTCTGAAGTACATTATCGTTATCAGCATTGATTAAAATTAACTCGGGCGACGTATTAATATCCTTTAGTTGACATCCAATTGGATGGTTACTGCTTGATGCTCGCGATAGGTTTGCTCGCATAATTTCTTCCGGATCATCCAAACTGATGTTGTCTACTACACTACCGTTGGATTGTGAAGATTTTAATGACGAACCAGCTGAATGAGTTTGCGATGATTTTGTCGCATGCTTTTTGTGATGATGCCGATGATGATGATGATGATGATGATGCTTGTGTTTAATATTATTATCCATTGCTATATCAGTTGGCGTTAATGGATTATTATCTGTTCGAGTAGCTCTTGCTAGTTTAGCCGCGGCTATAAAAAAAAACATACATAAAAACTAATTAGTTTTTTTTTACATAGAATTTCAAATTTACACCAGAAAAAAGGCATAATTGCTTTAGTCATTAGAACGATGTAAATCATTTGATACGACCGGCACATAGATAATAACAAAAAAATCGACTCCGTCTATACTTAGAAAGGCTCATTATTGTCATGCAGAGAATGGTGTAATGATGAAGAGAAAAAAAACAGCAGACTCTAACCTTTAGCTCTTTCACGAAAACGTTTTTTTGTTTCAATGAAAACATGTGCATAAACAATCGTCATAATTAACGCTGGTATATAAAATGAACCGCAAGCGGAATAAATAACATAAGCTTTATTATTTGATAATTCACATTGTTGAAATTCATTAAAATTCTGTAATTCTCGTGAACCAAGCATGGCTGCTATGATTGGTGGAATTGATATAGTTGCTGATAACATCCATACAAGCATAATCATCAGAAATACACGTCGTATTGTACGTTGACGAGCATAATGTATCGGATCACTTATAGCCCAATAACGATCGAGCTAAAATCACACATAAAAATAAAGCTAGATTTTCTTCACAATAAAATAATAAATATTTACCGCAATAGCACAAAGATTTAATATTGATGAAGTGCATAGAAGAACATCAGACGTGACAAAAATTTGACACATGATTTTACCGAATATCCATCGTTTTAGTATATGTGTGACAATATGAAATGGCATAACGAGAATGGCAACAAACATATCAGAAAAAGCAAGTGAAACAATAAAAAAATTTTGTACAGTTCGTAATGGTCGAAATGTAAAAACAGATAAGATAACAAGTACATTTCCGCATATACATAAAACAACAATACTCGAAAGAACGAATGCAACAGGTAATACTTTAACCAGTGACATCGGACGAATAAGCGATGGTAATGGAGGGGCTATAATCGAGGTTGTATTAATTGAAGTAAAAAAGTTCAGTGCCGGAGGAGATAATAGAGCCATAGTTGAATCGCTCGACGAAACCAAATACCAATCGATATTGCTTATATTTAATGGTAGAAGAATATTATTATTATTATTATTATTGGAATAATCATTGCTTAAATCAAAATTTGGCACGTATAAACCTTCAACCTCACCGCGATGAATAGATATTGTCAATGGTAGTTGCACTAAAAGGAAAAGAAACAAAAAAAACACAATGGAAGAATGTTTATTTTCCCTCTCGTTAAGGCTTAGAAAAATATGTCGCATTTTTCTTCAAGCCCGTAAAAGCATGTTTTTAGTGAATGCCTGCCACTAGGCTATTCAAATCGAAATAAAGAAAATTTCGAATAATAGCTTCCTCTTATTTTCTCTGTATATCGTTTATTGTGTAGTTTTACACTCAAATATGTTTTCATCTACATTCAACGAGCGAGCGAGCGAGCGAGCGAGACACAATATTTCTCTCTTCTATTTATTTAATAATAGCAATATTTAATGTTCTGTCTTCACTAGAATTATAAACAAATTAACTTATATATCGTATGCAGCGAAAAGAAAGAATAAGATGAACTCGTATTATTAAGTGTCTCTATAATCATGTTAACTTGATGCCTTTTTAGAATGATTGCTCATAAGAAGATTGTTCGTATACTTATTTTATTAATGAATAATTTTTTCATTATACACGAGTTACACAGGGTTTCATAGAAAAACGAAATCATCTGCATCCATATAACTACTAATAAATCATTTTCCTATTAATCAACGCAGTTGTCAATTAGTTAAATAGGATTTTCATGATAAAAATGATAGGTCTCTATACTTAGTCGACACGATCTATTAATTCATGGCTTATTTCGCCTTCTTCTTCTTCTTCTTCTTCTTCTTCTTCTTCTTCTAGCTTCAAAACACCGACTTCTTCGACTAATCGAAAGAAAAGAAGAAGCGATGAACTTATTTGGCACAGAACATTCGACATTTATCAATGTCATTTAAATAGTATACAATCTATCAACTCGAAAATAAACGCCGTAAGTTTTCTCTTATTATATTTCCTATGGGACATACTCGGGAATGCAAAATAAATTGGTTAAATAATTAAGGAACTTTCTCTCTCCTCTCTCTCTCTCTCTATATATATATATATGTATATATATATATATATCCTATAAATCCGCAGAAAAAATGGCATTTTAACATAAATAGTTGACGTATTTGACTAGGTATATTGTCCTTGCTGCTGTTGATAAATGTTTATTTAATCAAAACGGATATTTGCCCAGAAGATGGAATAAGAGAGATCTACTTGATATTTTAATTGATTTTGTTCGTTTTTATTTAAATATGTACACTGGTTCGCACAATAAATAATAGAAGCGTCTATGAAGAGATCGAAATAAAGAAGAAAAAGAAAATTCTCATAAAAATTATTCTCTTAGCCATTTAAAAATCAAACTTCCTTTTTTATGAAAGAACCATTTGACCTAAAGGTCTCATTGAACAATGAATAAAATAACGGTTATTTCTAACACGATCTTAATTTGACACATTATATTGCGTTGCTACCTGATTTTTGCCTATAGATAGCACGGAAATTTGTATCTCTATGTATAGATAAGGCCAAATTACTTACGCAAAATAGTCGTTTTCTAAATCTAATTTGTCTTTTTGTATGGAAATTTTATAATTATCTGAGAAAAAAAGGTAGAATAGGGGATGTAAAAATTTAGAATATATATAGCCGGAGAAAAAGAAAAATATAAGTAACAAAGTGAATACACTAAATGGATGCAGACGATAAAAACGCCACTGATTGCATTTGTTTGGATCAATCAATTCACATATTTTTGCCTTTCTTTTATAAAAGACTATGGATGCATGTCATCGCTCTTCTTGCTATTGTTTACACTATGTAAACAGGTCTTGGAACTTGTTCAATCTTCCTCATGCATGCAGCACGAGAGAAAATAAATAGCTTTCTTATTACACTCTTCTTTTAGTGCACAAATGGATCAAATAGAAGACACATCGACGACAAAATAATTCTCTCGTCTCGAATTATTCTAAGTACTCTAGCACAAAAGTATCTAAGAATACATTTCATCAAATTTAACTCTAATCGAGTTATTAGCAGGAAAAGATCTGGTCTTCAGCCGATGAAATTTTATTTTTTGCACAAACAATTTCTATCATAACTCTAATCTCTATATAGAATTCTGTGCTTAACAATGTTGAAAATCTTTCCTGTATTCTCTGATGACAAGAGAAAAACGAGCTCATTAGGCCATAAATAGAGCTCTATTACAAGTACTTTGTCACTGTCGTGGCATTTCCAAAAGGCATTCTTTTGTTCTAACACTTTGTATTTGAGAATATCTTGACTTCTCAGAATTATAGCTAATGAAAATACGATCTCCAGCAAGAGTTCAGCAATATATTTTGTTCTCTTTTGTCTTCTACTAGCTTGTAGACACGAACATGTTTATTGAAAAGGATCATTAGAGCTAACAAGCGAAAAATATATATACGCTGAATATAAATAATTAAATGCGTTCAAATATAGTATGTTTTTATTCATAATAGAATTAATTATATATACATATATATTGTCTTTTTAATGCCGACCATGCAAACAATTATTTATTATAATCAAGACATGCAAAAAATAAGAAGACGTTTTGCATAAACAGAACTTACTGATTATCTTTCCTTTTGTTAGAGCGGTTATTTGTTAGCCTGTTGGTAGCATTCCATGCATATAAGAAGAATAAAAATGAAACAAAACCTAATGCATGATAAGAGCAATTTTTAATGTTTAAATGCCATTGAAGTGATAAGAAAAGCACGCATCGTGAAGACGAGATCTAGAGATCTGAAAGAAAGAGAAAAAACTGACTTCTAGAACAAATGAGATCCATTTATGAGCTTAACTAAAAATATAGAATGAAATCAGATGTAATATCCGTTAATGATTTTTTTTTGCCAGCTTCTACAGTTCCTGATTACAACAAAATTCGTTGAGATTATGCACCCGACATAGCAAACGAAAGAAAAAAATCTAATTCCACCGCAGGTAATTAGAGTTAGAATATATCCGATTTTCAGAAACGTATTAAATTAGATTCACAAATTTGACCATCAAATAGAAAATGAATAATGGACTTGAAGCGACAAAATACATGTCGCTATCTAAGAGCATCGTCCTCATGATACACAAATAAAAATGCATACATAATTAAGACACATTTTCCGAGATGTCGAACTTGAGCACGGTGGGACATTATAATGTGTGCGTGCCCATTAAAATATAGTTTAATCAATGAAAAACCTACTTGAATACGTCTTCTATTGGCCATCATCTGTGAGAAAAAAAAAATATGCATATTATAAATAAAAGAATCTTCTTTCCGTACTAGTAATATTAACCTCAGCTCACAAAACTAAGAGAATACGATTTAGATTGTGTCGACATTCTCGAGCAAAATATTCTCCAATAATTAAAGAGCATTGAAAGCTCTCTCTCTCTCTCTCTTTTGTTCGTACAATGAATAGATTGAAAACAGAGTTTTCCATTACATTGCAAACTAGTCTAGATCGTCTATTAATACGACATGAAAATCTCGTTCGCTATTTTATTTGTATATAGATATCGATGGATATATATATATAAGTAAAACGAACGATTCTTCTCCGCGATCGTGCTTGTATAAAGACCTTATTTATGTATGCATGGCGTTCTCTCAACTGGGAGTTCGAATGCGAAATGATGATGTTAAAAATAATCGTAATAGTCAATCCTATTCAAGCTTCGTCTTTTTCTGTTTCTTTGTTAATATGAGTTGACTGTACCAGAAGTAGATTTTTCTTCTTTCTTCTTATTATACTCAGTTGTTCACGGTTGTCGATACGAATAAAACGATAAATAATTCATAAACATGTCAAACTTATCACGCTTTCCCTATTGAAAATAAAACGATACATTTGCTTGTTTAAAATGTTGCTGCCTCAGACAAAAGCATTGAAAGGAAATATGAATCGCAAAAAGTCTGCCTACCATATTATTCTATATGATTTTGTTATTAATAATCTTATTTGTACTTACCTAGAGGCATATCAGAACCATATGCGTAATCTAATAAAAAGATAACTAAGTGCATAGTTTCTATATGCTCTATCTTTTTAATAAGGCATGTGGCTTTTTTAAGATACACAATTATAGATGGATGCAGCGCATTGTCACATGACGTCGATCATTAGCATTCTTTTCTCTTAGTACGATTTTTCGCCTGCATCACTCTTCTCGTTTTTTTCTTTTTACTAAATGGTGCTGGCATACAGGAAGTGTAAAACGCCGGCCGAATATTGCACAAAGCAAATAATATGATTTTCGAAAAAATAAAGAATAAGCATAATTGATTTGTTGTCCTTGTTCTGATAGTACAAGATACATGGCGTAAGAGTTTTTATGTTATTACAGTAAGCATATGTTTACACACATCTTCAACCAACTTCTTCAGTTATATTATCAGTAAACAAGCAAAAACATGATTTTCTTTCATAATTAGTTAATCAATAGTCATTGACGAAGAAAAAAAATATATCAATATCTTCTGTTTAATTATTAAATCATTTATATTATATATATATATATATATATAAAGAGGGAGATGGAATACAAAATTCAATTCGTTACATTGATGAATAAGAACGAAATAAATGAGCACTGTAGCATCATCACTATCGTTTCTTGTTGTTATCGCCATATCAACATATGCGAAACAGAAACGTGTGTAATTTATTGATAAGCTATTTAAGTTGATATGTCTGTAAATCAGAAGGAATCTATAAGCTACTCAGTGGAGTAAGCATTATATCTCAAGAGATTTACATACAATTCTGTATTCATTTTAATCAGACCACTTCTACCATGAATAAAAGTCTCGACATTAGAAATAGTATAGTCATAATTGATTTTTCAACAATAAATCGAGCTAAATATGGTATTTAGTTTCTTATTCCATTGTAAATATTTAACAATAGATTATTAAAAACCGCAACACTTCTGCTGTAATTGATATGTAATATAAATTTAATTTTTGAGCAATTATTTTCAATAATAAGCACATATGCAAAACACGAAATACAAGGAAATGAAGTACGCCGACAAAAAAAGTTAACGAAGCAAACTAACAATATGCGTTGTTTTGTTTTTAAAAATTAGTCACAAATGGAATAGGAAGTATTTGCAGGTCGTGCCATTCGATACGCGTACGGTTCAATAAACGTGCGCAAATACCAACGCAGCACAGCATCACATCTTATTCAAAGGATGTTTTTTCATTATCGGAAAAGATGTCGCTTTCGATGGTTGAGGTTGATGTCAAGGCAATAGCGTGTGTATGTCTAGTCGATAGATGTTCTCGCCATACGTTTATGAAACAACTACTATACGAATTCAATTAAACGTTTAAAATGTCTGATTCGGAAGAAGAAGCCAATGAAAAGCAAATAAAAATTGTTATACTCGGTGATGGTAGTTCAGGCAAAGTATGTTACTAAATTTCTTTTTAAGACTGATGACTGTCATTTTAGACGTCGATTTCTGAAAGATTCTCAAAGGATTCATTCCATCGTGACTATAACCAAACACTGGGAATTGATTATTATTTAAAAAGAATTAATTTAACACGTAAAAATTAATTTAAATGGCTTGATGATAATGTCTTTTATCGTTTTTCAGGCTCCTATAATGTGACATTGGCCGTCAATGATGTGGGTGGTCAAACCTTGGGTGGTGCTATGTTGGATAAATATATCTATGGAGCCGATGTAAATTTTAATAAACGAATTGCAATTTATGGAATCGCTTTTTTCTCTTATAGATTGTTTTACTTGTTTACGATATAACAAATTTGCAAAGTTTTGAAAATCTCGAAGATTGGTATTCTACTGTATTGAAATATTGTGCTGGCCGAAAACCATTATTTGTACTTGTTGGGAACAAAAGTGAGTCGATAGGAACATTCTTCAAATATTTATTTTTATAGAGATTCATTGCGAGAGATTTTGTATGAGCAGATGCCAGAAATTATATCCTTAGATTTTCTGTGGGTTCATCAAACAGATCAGCGAGAATAATTATGAAGTGAATAAGAAAAAAAAATGATCTGACAAAATACCGTACTTCAAACAAAAAGTTTAATATTTACCGGTCACGCTATACTGTTCAGAATTCTTCATTATATATCAAGACATGATCGTAAAAGTTTATTTAAAAAAAAAAAAATCATTTTTAGATGATCTTCAACATTTACGTGCTGTTAAAGCTGAAAAACATCATGAATTTGCCAAAGATCGAGACATGTTAGCATATTTTGCTTCGGCTAAAACTGGAGAATCGATTGAAACTATATTTCGTCAAGCTGCAGCTCATTTAATGCATATTGTGCTACCGAAAACTGATACTGATGCAACGCCGATTATAACAGCAACAATTGTTCGACAAGAACCACAAAGTGCCATGTTTGATAAACCCTTGGCAACGCCAAATCGCACGCGAACATCTATTTGTAGTTTACAATAAGCTTTTCTTTTTTTTTACGTTTACGTATAGATTTTGTGCAATTTAATTTGTGAACTTTTCTTTTAACGTAGGAATTTTCACGCCTTTAAGGGAAAATAAAAGTTTTCTGAAAAATATTGAATACTCAATTTTTTATGGACATATTGATCCAAGGAATCTTAATGTGGTCATATCTTAACAATGGCTAGAAGAATTGAACTGAAAGTTTTTATAGACAAACTTTAATGAGCCCAATTTACGATGAGTAAGTTTTGATTGAAATGAAATAGACATCTGCAATTATTACCGCATGGAAGAACACGGAAAAATGAAACTCGAAAAAATAATTTACCTAACTGTATCGTTCCATTTTTTGAGAGAAGTCGTCTAAAAAGTGGGAGTTTAACACTCCTAGTTGCACCCCATGCCCACTCTCACAATGATAGCTACATCATGTTGCACTTTTTTAATTCCGAAATGATCGTGTCTGCAGCTTTCTTTCATAATTATGAAATAAAAAAATATCTAGCTTAGAAAAACATCACGAAAAGAAGAAATTGTTTCGGACTGATTTGTCTAGAAGCATTTCATAAACCCTTTCAGTAAATGGTTGAACGCTTCCAAAGCCTTGTTAAATATTTGCAAAAGTTTCTTCAAACGACTATTTGGGCTTAAACGTTCCGCTTGCTCTTCTAGTAAGCTTAACTGTGATTGCATCGATTCTAGAGTATTGCTGCGCTCACGCAAAGTTTCGACGGTTGCTGGCAATGCTTGCAGTCTATTCCGATGTTCTTCGATTGCATCAACACACTGAATAGCGAGGTGATCTTCGCACAACGCAGGATCTTCGTGCACAGCCTGACAAATACTATGCCATATTTCGTTATCAGCCGCTTGGCAAGCCACATATGTTGTCACTATCTCTCTTTGCATGGCACGTAGATCAGGAGCCAAATGCTCTCTCTGCTCTCGAGTGAGCATTGCACTGAAATTAAGAAATGACATGAAATTTATTTCAAAATGAATATGTAAATAATGATAAGAGCAAGTGATGATTTAATACTGCTCTTCAAGTATTATTATCAACGAATTGCTAACCCTCGATATGAAGTACGTATCGAGATGTGACTAATGCAAAAAATTATCAAACCCTAACTTGAGATTGTTGGTCATATTTCCAACGTGACCGATGGTACGGATGGAACCTCGCGCTGCATCGTTGATATAAAGACCAATACTACGAAGGCGTTGTATAAGTGAGCTTATTGGAGTTGAAACTTCCGTTTCGCTACTCATTGCTAAAAATAAGCTGCGAGAGAATTCACACTCTTGGAGAGCGTCGTTGATTGCTGGAGAAAACAAAGGCGCAACTGTATGGTTATTGGTAGTAAGCTGTCCACCCTGTAAATGAATTCATAAAGTTAGTCGGATACATGAACATTTACTCGTTTTACCATTTCAGATAGCTTAGGAACCAGCTAAGTGTGGCGTTTGATTGTGGACTATTTGCTTATATTTTTATTAGTAGTAAATAGGCAACGTAGTATATGGCACACCTTGCTCTGCTTCTATTTATCTTGAAGATAAAAACTAAGAAAAATCTAGGCGTATGATGAGTTGATGCGATAAAATTTTTCCGTATGATATCTATAAAAAAATACAGATTAGTTACTCGACTAGTGAGCTTAATAATAGACACCATGAGATTACCCATGAAAAAGAAAATGCATTTATTATATTCTTTATAAAGTGATACTGATACTTCAGTGAATCTCTTTTCAATTGTATAATTCGAGTGTTTTTCGAAGTTAAATGTGCGATGCAAACAGTTTCTACGGGCCAACTATATTTAGTTCAATTTTTAGTCGATTTACGATGGTCTAATCTACTTAAAATTTCCCGGTTCACTTACCAAAAAACAAACATTGAATTGTCATTATTAGATAGAGCAAAAAATAGATCATAATAGACTATTCTACTATTCTTTACCCGATTGTTCTTGTTAAATTAAAAGACGAAAACCAACGTATTTCCTTCTTTATTGACAAACTTTTGAAATGTGGGCTTTCGTGTAATACACTAGCATGGTTGAAATGAGAAGGACGAATAACACCATGGAAATGTATCTGTTCTATGAATAGCTGTCTTTATAGGTAAACGTACGCGATGTTTGAAATACAATAGTAGTCCTATGATACGAAATTCCTTTCACGCCTTATATAAACTATTCGAGAACAGCGATAATCAAATTATACGATTGAATAGATATTGGATCTTGAGAAAATATGACTACTTTTTTTCTAAAACACAAACTAGAGTCTATGACAATTCTAATCGACGAGAGTCATGTTAATGGCTATCCGCAAGGATGCATTAGAGAAATAAGCGAGTAACTAATTCCCCCTTGAAAACAATAAATTGCACACGAACATTCAGCTCAAACAAGTTTCTCAAAAGCTTCTTAAACTGTTTTATACTGCTTACCAGTTGGATACTACACTCGTCCGAGTCAGTGTATGTGGACGTTTGGCTGCCGATATGAGGTTGGTATAAGTGAACGAGCGAAGTAAACACTGACAACCATGCTCGTATGTATGTCTCGGTCGTAGATTGACGAAACGAGTATTACCGCAGTGTGTGAGTGTTTAGAATGTGAAAGTTGTGCACTGTGCCAAAGCATAATCTGGCTCAGGTATTCTTTCTAATGTAGCTTAATATTAGAAATAAGACCAGGTAATATTTCATGCAGCACGGTTGCTATTGCGAAATTGAATATACGCCAATGAACGCACGCCCTCTGTGGAAAATTAAAAGAAGCGAATTCAAGTGGTAATGCCTTGGCTTCTTGTAATGATTGGCACGACTAATCACTAGTATCACCAAGACATAGCATTTCATACTCTAATGGTGCGTGAATCTCTTGCAAGCTTCTTTTATTGCAAACAGATCTGACGATAATGTGAGGCTTGATGCAAGCAAATGTGATGATAAATAAAAGAGGCTAATAATACGCGTGATGAAACTTGGTTTCTACCAAGTATCCGTCAAATTTGCTCGCTGAAATGTTCTTATAACATAATGACGAGATAAGAATTGCATTACGAAAACAGCAAGATAACATGCCAGCTTTTGCACGGTCATTGTCTGTTTCAACAGCAGGTTGAGAGTGTAAATGTTGGTAAAGAAAAGAGTAGCGCCGATATCCACACATACCCATTGAACTACTGAGAGGAAATTAATTTTAGATACACTTTGATCAATATTCAATATTCATTTGTTCAATTGGATAATTAATTTCATAAGATTCTTGTAATTATTTTTTGAAGAATATGTATAATGCGCATATTTTCTCAGTTTACTTTATTTTTTAATTAATCCGACATTTCATTGATTTCTTTCACAAATTTTACCGGAAATGTAAAATAACTCCTTGCATCATATGTTTAGTATAGTTAAAGTAAATCTCATCGAGTAATTCTATTCATGCTAAAATAATATATTTGACTATAGATTATGAATAAAAACTATTATTATGGGTGTCGGCATTGGTGCAGACTGTTTAAAGTGGCATTCACATCCACGTTCAACTTCTAAATTTGAATTTCGGTAACAACATATGAATATATTAAAATATCCTCGGATTTTGGTAACTTCATCATCAAACAATTCTTTTTATTTTTATCACGGTTCTTCCATTACGAAAATCAAATATCAAAGTTGTGATAGAAATCATAAGACAACATACAATAAATTATTTAACAAATTGTTAACTAAAAAAATTGATCAATCTATTACGAAAATGAAGTTTTCTTTGTGTGAAGTGGTCTATGCTAGTTTAAAGTGTAAATGGGGAACGGCAACTAACAAAAAAAAAATAGATATATCAAAAGAAACTGTTTAGACATAAGAAGGAAGTACTTTAAATGTTCGCTTTCTATCTTAACAATGACAGACTTCGAATAATCATCCTTTTCAAACTTGAGCAGTCTTCAGACTTCTAAATAAAAATTAACATTTGCAATATTTGACGTCTAGTATAGAAATATTATTAAAAGCGCTTTTATTTTGTTTTAGTAGATACGAACAAATGAATTTTCTTGTTCACTCATTTTAATTAATCTTCTTGTCATGTTCATCAATAAGATGTTACAAGTGTCTTTTATATCCCAAATGATCTAGAACATTTCTTTCTAACATGCCCAAGTGAACCAAGCGATTAATATATAAATTGCTTCGCTCGAGCTTTTTTTTCTCTCATTTAATTATGTTCTACCTGTTGGTATCTTTACTTCTCACTCGGAGTATAATGTTAAGAAAATTTGAATTGATGAGAAAGCATATTGACATTGATGCCATTACGTATGTTGATAGTAGTCATCATCGGAAATAGCACAGCAAGAAATCATTTCCGTTGATGACACCATTTACACCTGCTTATATATGAATAGCAGCAGCAGGTCTAATCGTTTCGTGTGACGACAGCAAATTATCATCATCGTTCATTGAAATCTGTATAGAAATAAACTCTAGACAATCAAAATTAATCAAACACTTCGTCAAGTAAGAAAACAAAAAGAAACACGACATTCGACGTTTCTCCTTCTTTTTCTTTCTTGCCATACTGCACAATCTCGATTTTGAAGAGCTACTCATTAGAAGTATTTTCTTTCTTTTTCTCCTAGCTGAAAAATGTACTCAATTTAAGCATGCGGAAACGAAGATGAAGAATGACATGTACAGATATATTTGTCAGAACGTTCAGACAGATGTGATGGTGCCCATCGAGAATACACGACAGAAATTGGTAACACCTGAAAGTGCGAGAAATAACGGCGACTATGAAGCCGGTGTTTGGCAGTCAAGTTACGAATTCATTTTTCTTTTTCTCTTGGTCTTTTTTTTTTGTAAGAACTACCATGTTGTAGTTTCAAGTAGTCATCTTAACGTTCGGCAACTTTCATATTTAATTTGATCAGTCTAACATTCTTATGTATAGAGATCATCAAGCATTGTCCGCCTTTTTTCTCTCCTCATCCATTCCCAACGATGCTTCTTATTAAATTGATTTGGCTCAACATGCTCGTCCCAATGAGACATTAGAGTATCATTTTGTTGAGGGGAAAAATGAATATATTTATCTTGAGACAAAGGCTACCATGTCATTGATGATTTGAGTCAAAACAAAAATGGTGACGTGTCCTTCTCACAGTTAATTTTCATGGCGTTTGATAAACATCTTAAGTTTTCTTTCGCTTTCTATTTTCAAATTGAAATATATAATAAAAATCGTGCTTTCTCAATCAATTAACAATCAATAGAAATGTATCGCACAATAGAAGTTTTTTTTTTTCGTCTTCGCCTATAAGAGAGAAAGAGGTAAGACTAAGGGCATGCATTTGCAAAGTGACACATGTGATTAGACTTTTGATGAATCAAAAGATACGAGGGAGAAAGAAAAAGAGCATTTCATACGGTAAGAGAGTAACAACGACCAATGACGTAAAAGTCATTCGACCGTATAAATCAGTTCGTTATTGAAGATTAAAATAGAAAAGAGCAATATAGTTCACTGAAATGACAAATACGATTTCATAAAAATCACTGAAAAGTGTACCTTGTCATTGTAATTAATTAGGCTATTGGTTTTTTTGTTTCTTTTGCTTTCGATTTATCCAATGAGGATTTTATTCGAACGAAGTTTTCTATTTCGACCAATCAAAAAATGTATTTCTTCTCTTTTGATAAGATTAAAACAATGTTGTCCGATAGAGATGCGTGCTGTTTGTTTTTATCAAGCAAACCGCATACAAATATTTTGCTGTCTCTCTTCCTCTCTCGTTCTCTGCTCGTTGCTTATGAGAGCGAAGCGAACAAGAAAAAAAAAGCTCGAGAATCACATTAAATTGTTCTTTTTCTCTTTTTTTTACCAATCAAGTTGTTTGATATTTACATAAAACAAATATTTCATGCAGAAAGACTCAATAGACATTGCAAATTATCCGATGTTATTAGCTACTCAACAGCAACTTTTCGATTATGCAGTACGCCTTCGATTGAATGAATCGTTACCATCGAATCCGTATTCTTTATGTGGTTTTTATCAAAGATATGATCCGAGATTTTGCGAAGAACCGAAACCATCTCATTCGTACATTGGACTTATTGCTATGGCAATTTTAAGTTCGCCCGAACGACGACTTGTTCTTGCAGATATCTACCAATGGATATTAGATCATTATCCATATTTTCGTGCACGCGGTCCCGGTTGGCGAAATTCAATTCGACACAATCTTTCGTTAAACGATTGTTTTATCAAAGCCGGCCGTTCAGCGAATGGAAAAGGTCATTATTGGAGTATTCATCCAGCAAATTTAGCGGACTTTATTAGTGGAGATTTTCGACGACGGCGAGCCCAACGACGTGTTAGGAAAAGCATGGGTCTATCGATTCCGGAGGAAGAAGACCATGACGAAGAAGAAATTCTACCGATTAATGAAACAGAGCATCATTTGAACACGTAAGTTTTCTTTTTTCTGTAAGAAAATAGAAATGCAAACCTTTTTTTCCTCATAAACTTTAGCTCTACATCAAAGATTCCCATGGAAGATCTTCATTCTCACGTAACTGATCTGGCATTGTCGCCAACAGCAAACAATCATATTGGTCAATCGAATCTTTTACAACGTTATTTTGATAATGTACAACCTGTTGCCATATCTCGCCTAGAACAACATCTATCTCCGTTGAAAACTGGAAATCAACGAAAACGATGCTTCGACGTCGATAGTCTTTTAGCACCCGAAGAGCCATGTTTAACCAAACGACAAAAATGCCATCTATATAAACACAACAACATTCATAGTTCATATTTAAAGTCAGACGGATACGCTTAAATATCTGGTATTAGATTTTTGTTGTTGTTGTTGTTGTTGTTTTTAAATGTCTTTTCTTTTCGCTCTTAATCATCAATCGGGGTAGTATAATCATCGTTTTTCTATGACTCAGCAGGACTCATTTCTACCTACCAATCAAGTTGTTTGATGAGAAAAGAGGAAGGCGATTGCTATCGCATCTTCTGTTCATATTCAATCGGCCTAAACGAATAACAAAAAAAAAAAACTAATTGTATTGTACTTATCTTTCCCTTCTCGCGTTTTTATTAAATATATCTGTGCATTAGCACTGTATTATGAAAGTCAGCGATCGAGTTACTTTTTGTTAGAATAGAGAAGAAGTCAACAGCAGCATGCAACGATTGACAAAGGTGTGAATACACATAGACACAGTATGGGTGAGAAATATTGTAGAAGAAATTATTTAATAAAAGTCATAATCCGTAAGAATTTCAAACAAAAAATAAAAAATTAACGATTTCAATTCTGTGACAACTTTAAACTTTAAGTGACATGTCCAACCAATTATGCCTTTCTTTTTGTAAAGAAATCATGAAATAGTTCAAACAAACTGAGAAGAAATGAAACAATAAAATGTCATGTTCTATGATTGGCTCTACACAAATTCGATGATATTTCAAAATAGAATTCTATTGACAAGAAAAAGACAATTAAGCAAGAAAAAAAAATCATTTTTTCCTTGAAATATTATTGGTGCAATTATGTTTCTGAATGTCGATTTGACCTTCACGTCAGTTTTAATTAATATGAGAACTTTTTTTTTTTTTGTAGTGTACACAACATCACATGTTTATTTTAGTTTTAATAATGAAAAGAAATCTGAAATAATTTCAATAAAGACGAAAAAAAAAGCTCGACGTAGTATCACCAAATAAATATATAAAATAAAATTCTCTTGTTCGTTCTTGTGTTTTGTGCTGTTTCATATAGATAAAATATAAGCTCTTAAACGACTAGTAAGAATAAAAAGAAAATAATATCATCTTTGACCGGATAAAAGAGCATATATTTATGCACGGGTTCGAGATTTTTGTTACTGTTTATCCGATGAAAAACCATATTTACGACTTAGTCGAGCTGGTGCTTCAAATGGATTGAGCCGACGATTCATATAATCATTATCGTTCATTTGTAAAGGACGTTTCGTACGTTGTAAAAGTGAACTTTGATTCAACAATTGTTCTTGTCGTTTGATACGTGTTTTTTCTGCTGGTAAATTTGATGATTCGTTACGTCCATACCGCCTGTCAAGTTCTTCATCGTTCATATTCGATTGTTGATGTTGCTGACTGGTGTTCATTTGTGTCGGTACAATAAAATCATCTTCATATTCGGTCATCGGCGGCGTGCCCATCGATTTGCTCGGCGTAATATAATCATTGTATGGCACACGTGCATTTGTTGCCGCTGGTAGATTTCCCATTTGAGGTAGTTGAATGTCTTCGATGGTAGGTTCAGGTAAAATATAGAGATTTTTCTCCTCGTCATAACGAGCTTGCTCAATAATTCTATCTGTATTACAGTAGTTACAACTTCGCTGCATGACACGACTCATTTTTTCAATCATCGTACGAAAGAGAAGGATTTTCTTTTCTTGTTCACGAATTGTATTTAAATATCCTTCACGTTCACGTTGAAATTCATGTTGTAAATCGGCATTATCAGCTAGCAAACGTTTATTTTCGATTTTTTCTAACTCGAGATTTTTAGCCACGTAATGAATCTAAAGTATGAATCGTATTTTGTATAGAACGACAAATTTCTCAACTGTGAGATAGGATTCGAGTTCGAACTCAAAAGCATTTCTAGACTAAAATTGAGTATAACTCTCTCGGGTACATTCGAATACGCTAGAAAAAGTTGCGGTAACACTCCCCATATGACTAACCTCTTCTTGAGCATTATTGAAAACTCTCATCATGGCGTCATCGTCATCACCATTGATCACTTTATTGAAACGTTTTCGTTGTTCTTGTTTTTCACGCATTTCATTTAATTTCTTTTTACGCTTCTTTTTTCGTTCGTCATTATTTGCTTCTTCGCCACCGACAAGATTTTTTTCTAATTCTTGTAAACGTTCAAGTTTCTGTTGTTGTTCAAAATCATCGGTAGGTTCGAACGTAGTTTCACCATCGGCATATTGACCATTGGGTGTTCCGTCTCCATTACGTTTCTGTTTGTTACCTCCACCTTTCTTCTTTGTTTTGCCACGTTCAAGTTCAGGTGGTGCAGGTGGTGCAGATGGTGCAGGTGCTGCAGGCGGTGCAGGCGGTGCAGGCGATACATCTAAAAATATGAGACATTTTCTTATTCAAACAAAAAAGGCTTCATTTTACTTTCGTCTTTGGGTTGATCTACCGTTAAGGCATCAAGTTCAGTGTCGTATTGTGATTTTAAATCTTCATATTTTCGTTGAAGATCTTCTTTACTTAGACGTTCCGCTTCATATTGACGACGTATTTCAGATACTTCACGTTCATATTCAGCACGTAATCGTTCTCTTTCTCTTTCAATATCTTCTTCAAAGTTAACTGGAGGCTCCTAAAAAACAATTTAGCAATCGAACAATTTCTTTTGCGAGAGAATTTTTCGCAGGATACCCTCGAGACTTACATTACTCGGTGGCGGTTGTGGTTGATTTCCACCAGGTACATTTCCTGCATGGACAAGTTCTTGTTTTAGACGATTGATTTCTTCTTGCAACAATTTCATTTGAGCATCACGCGGATCTTCATTAATGCGAGGCTTATTCTTAATATTTTTCGCTCGATTCGCATCTAAATTTGGAATATTTAATTTCGTATTAATAAATAAATTAGAAACTTGCATCGTAGAGTTGACAATGTTTCATCGTAATTATCATGCGCAGGACTTACAGCTGCTATCTGAAAAATAAAATAAATATAACACAGTGCATCGAGCATGACTTTTACCATCAGTGTTTTCGTATTACCACCGAGTGAATCTTGTAAAAGACGCGTTAGTTTAGAATCTCGATATGGAATATGTTTCGAACGACCGTCGACCAGTGCTGAAATAACATTACCCAATGCACTGAGCGATAGATTAATTCGGGTTGCTTCACGTAAACGATCGCCTTCCGCGTCTATTCATAAAATAAATGTATTACCACTCGATTTAAGAACAAAAACTTACGTGTTTTCGACTGTCGTTCACTACCGGCTAAATCAACTAAATTAAGTTTACCAGCTCGAATATGGTCTTTTCCATCGATGTCACTTTTCGAACACATTTCAGTAACAATGGTAAAAATTGAATGCGATCGAGACGAATCTTTATTCATTAGAGTAGCACCTGTTGCACGATTTCGATTTCCTTTATCCATAAGACGTTCACAGTCCAATACACTTGCACATGGATGCCATGATAGATTTTGTACTAGAACGCCCTTGTCAACATATTCCTTCAAAAGCAACAAACAGAAGTCTTAATGGAAGGAAAACAAAAAACATGTTGTTTACTTTGAGATCAAGTGTTGCTTTGACATCTTTTCCAAGTAGATCACGAATGCTTTCATTATAGATTTCGAGATAGGATGCTCGAATAAGATATTTAGTACCAGCTGCTACCGACGATGCTTCAAATATGTGCTAGAAACAGATTAGATATAGAATTCAAAAGCGAAAAAATTCTCTATCAGCTGGTCCGACAATCAAAAGTTCTAAAAGAACGTTTCGAACTTTTTTGTATACGGTAGAGTTTAAAATTTCCGGTAGAAATACTAGTTCGATTTTTTTTCATACCTGAATAGATTCTCTCTTACGCAGAAAATTGGAAGCCAACAGCAATTTCGATGTTCGAAATAAATTTTGCCTTTACGAACTTCTAGAGAAATCCTTGAACTCTCGCATTCATGAATATTTTGTACTAAGGCTTCTGACTTTGTTTAATTTTAATTCTACCGAACACATTTCCTTTCGAGTGTATCACATGCATGCAATCCTACCTCGAATGATCGCGGTATAACGCCCCTTTGTGGGGAACCGGGTGCAGGCAATCCTTGCATTGTGAAGGATTTTCCACAGCTAAACAAGAAGATACATATTTTTATTCAAACAGAAAAATCTAGGGAACAATTATTTATACCCTGTTTGTCCATAGGCAAATACTGTTGCGTTATATCCTTCGAGTACCTAAAATTCAAAGACAAAAAAAGAAAGAAACCATTTTTCTTTTATTCTACAAATATATTTCGTTTACATTTTCAACAAGTGGAAAAACTGATTCAGCATAGAGATTTTCAGTTATTGAATCCTCAGCATAAACAGCATCGAATGTGAATTGTTTTGGTGGTTCGTTACTTTGATCAATATTTTCTAACATAACTTGATTGGATTGTCCATTCATTAAAACTATCGTCTATAAATAGATTTAAAGAAAAACTCGTTGTAGTAGAGACTTATGTATGATGTAGGAGAGTTATCTTGCTTTGCATTGTAAATCCATTTCACGTTGGTTCATCGGTCGACATCGTACGATAACCCGGACGGTCTCACTGGCTGCCATGGCCGGTTATTTTTTAATCGAACACTCAATCTGAAAGTAGCAAGTTATAGAGGAGAAATGGAGAGGGAGAAAAATGTAGAAAAGACAAACAACAACGAAATGTAAACGAAAAATGAATGTGCAGCACTATGACTTGATGTTGAATTTCTTTCATAGAAAAGATTCCATTAAAAAAAGAAGAGGAAAGCGAAGGAAGAAAAACCATGACAGTCAATGTTGCTATTCGAGATATGTAAATCAACCTACGTTATGTGAAAGAGGACGCCATTGTGCAATCAAACAGAAATGCTATCATAAAAAGGTCCTTATTACAAAAAGGAAAAGAAGAAACTTGAATACGTCACTACGTGTTGAGTATACAAAAGATTATTCTCGTGAAACAAGTGTCAATTATAAGAATCACACGTGTAGACTTTTGCTATTCATTTGCGATATACACGACAAATAGAGAAAAACAAAATTTATCTTATCAATATTTTTACATAGCAACACAAATGAAGTCGTATCGAAAAGAATTCAAGATTGATAATTACATATGTTTGAAATCTGAAGCTTGTCCTTCTTATCGAAGACTGGCGATAGAGAAGAATCAGATTGTTTTTCTATTCGATTTATGACTTTTCATCGATATAAGACTCAAATCTCTTTTTGTTCTGCGAATAGAATTTTGCAAATGATGAGGAATAAATAAAAAAAAACGTTTATCACTGTCTCTCGTAGCAATCGAAATCTATAGAGAAAGAATCATTGGAAGAAAATGATTATACTTTGAGTGCACTATGCGTACGTGCGTGGGTAAAGTTATACGTGAGAATAAAAGAACGGAAAAAAATAGCTGGCGTTTTGCTTGAATGATTCCACGTGAAAAATGCTCTTACTAACATTTTCATAATATTACGAAAGAATCTTTTTTATCATGTCAAGTGCTGCATCGTCTAATATTGTATGTAGTTTGCTCTTTATAACAATACAAAGAACTTCAATAACTGCAATAGTTTTTTGTTTGAACTTAGAATGCAGCTATACGAACACGTCGATCGAATAAGCAGCATCGCCGTCGCAATGAATTATCCTATGTGATTAGTCATCCAACAAGTGCTAACATTTTGTCTTATTCGAAATATTTCTTTTTTAAATCAACATTTGGTCGTCTTGCATTACTTTTTCTGTTCATCGCCGCATTTCATGCGTACATATTGTGTTATATTCTCTGGCCAAAATTAATCACTTGGCTGCACAATTCAACATCAATAGAAGAGCTTTAATTAGGTATTTTTTATAAAGAAAAAAAAAAGCGTTGGATTATCAACACATCAGTGATGACATTTAAATAAAATGTTAAAGATCGAAACCAATTCGTCGTTTGCTTTTAAGTACATCTGACGAATCAAAGGATAAATAAATATTTATCAACGCATTGAGTTTATATCGATAGAAAAATTTTGCAGTACATCATACGATTTAAGTAAGACGACATTCGATTATTGTACGTATCAATAGCTTTAACATAATGAACAATAAGCAAATAAAAGACAATGACTACATGATGAATTCACCCTAGTTACGGAGTATATTCCTTTCGATTTATATATATATATCATTTAACTCCAGCAGAAAATATTGATAAATTTTTCAGCCTTTTCTTTATTGTCAATCATAAACTTTCCCAGATCATTTCAATTTCTACGAACAACAAGACTGATGAAAAACAAACGAACAGTGAAAATATTTGTTTCCGACGGTAGTTCTGATAAGGGAATGCTGTTAATCACAAAAAAATGAAATAATCGTCAAAAACAAACACAAGAAAAAAACGAGAGGATGTTACGTTCTTAAAAAATTGACACATATATATATATATATATATTATGTTATTATACATATATATTAGGAAAAAAATAGCGTACATCTAGAAATGCTTTCTAAAGCAATTGTACAATGTTTATGCACTGGTTTGTGTTTGATAGGAGTGAGACACAATACAAGTTTGAAACTGAAGAACAAAAAAAAGCGAACTCAATGAATGTGTTTCGATAAAAAATAGGATAAAATTCAACAGGTGCGATCCACATTACTGTTGTGAATGCCACGTTGAATTATTATGTGTACGTTGTTGTTGTTGTTGTTGGTGATGGTAATGATTTCTATTGCTATGAATAGCATACGAAGCACCATTTCGATTATCCTTTATGCGTAGGAAGAAAAAAAAAGAGTAAATCTCTTTCTTTATTTCTATTCATAATACTTACACGATTATCGACTGAAGAATAATTCATATTTCGATCATGATGCGAAGTATAATAAGTTGGCACTGTGTATAAAACCGGATTGAAGTATAAAGTTGTTGCCGGACTAGCTGCTGTCAATGAAGCACCCTGAGAAAATGAAGCTGCAGTTGCCGATAGTTTACTTGTTATAGGAGTATCTTTTGTTGTTTGAGATGAATTTGATGAATCACTATTTAGTATTCGACTTTGTCCATAATGAGCAAAAAAATCTTTTTCATTTGAAGATCGATCTAACAATAAGACAAAAGCGTAACGCAAAAAACAAAAATTTGTTAAATAACAAATACCATATCTATTGGATTGAATAGTAGCAGGATGATATGATTGCTGGGTAGGATACGATTGCATATAATCTAATATTAGCGAAATAAAGTGTTTCGATAATTTTAGCCAATACTGTTATCTTACTAGCTGCTGTCGGATATGTTGAATAAGGTTCAAGACTAGCTGTGGACCAAGAATCAACGGGCGTTAAATATGGATAAAGCTAAATTAAAATTATACTATTCGTAGTTTGTCGATAAAGTGTAAAATCCCTGACAATGGAGGTGTTTGTATTGTAAGTTGAAAAGATTAGATATTTTTACATCAGAAGAAAGCTTTCACCGCCAAACTAACAAGATTAAAATATTAGCTCCCCTTGGCTTGTCTAGAGGGAGATACTCGATTTTTCAGTGAATTTTCTCTATAGGACCGACTTGCCCAGCAATATCATATTTTCAAATTTGGACCTGAATCTTTGTATGCATGAAGGTTTCAATGAGACTAGCTACAGAAAAAAAAATCGGAAGTTTTGAACAAACTCTCTTCGAGATATAGATGTCTCAAGCATACAGCTTCTATAGAAAATCGTCAATATTTTGAGAGATTCATATCTCGAAGAGTTTGTTCAAAACTTCTGATTTATTTTCTGTAAGCTAGTCTCATTGAGACCTTCATGCATACAAAGTTTCAGGTCCAAATTCGAAAATATGATATTGCTGGGAAAGCCGGTCCTGTAGAGAAAATTCACTGAAAAATCGAATATCTCCCACAAAAAGAGTCAAGCAAAGCTAATATTGTAACCGTGCTAGTTTGGCGGTGAGAGCTATCTTTTGATGTAAAAATATCTAATCTTTTCAACTTACAATGCAAACACCTCCATTGTAAGGGTAATCTGTCGAACGTTACTTACTGGTGTTTGAACATAAGGATAAGCTTCGACGAAATATTGTTGTTGGTGTTGCATAGGATACGATGCTTGTTGGGGATAATTTCCTTGTTGCATGAGTGTTGCTTTTGCAGCTGCTTTATAATTAGCTTGTTGTTGTCGATTCCATGGTGTTTGAGAATAATCTCTTTGTATTGATCTAAAAAGAGCAAAAAGACTCCTAAAATAACTCGAAATCAAAAAAAGAATCAATTACGAATAAGTGCCAGCTGTATTGTAGGGTGTAAAAGCAGATTGACTACTACCGGAAACAGTACTAGCGTTGGATAAAGGTAATTGAAAATTATTCGGTACACATGTACTAGTAGTTTGAGACGTGTGCGAAGAATATTCTAAAGTGTTTGTTGTTGATATTGGCGGTAATTGTGTTGTACCGGTAAAAGATGTAGTTATTTCTAAAGGTGCTTGTTGTTGTAATGAATCAGTTAATTGATCAGACAAATGAGAAGTTCGTTGCGAAGATAAACTCGTTGAGCTACGTGCCTGCAAAAGAGAAAATTTATTAAAATCGAATTAATAATGCTAATAATTACTATAGTATTGTTTGCTAATGATAATGATGATGATGATATCGAACATGATGAAAGTCGATTGGTAGTTTCAATTAAATTATCTTGAGCCCTAAAAAGAAATTATTGATAACAACTGCCCGTATTACTCAGATCTTCAAGGGATCGTTCTTAGCACGTTTCATATGGGATTAAAAATGCAAAACACAATTAAACTACTCTTAAATCAAGGGAATATCTGTCTACATTTATCTAGATAAGAGATGTGCAGCGACTAGGTTTGTTTGACCACGGTAATTTTGACCTACTGCACTGTACTCGAGAGTCTCACGAACATTTGTAACTACTGGGAAAAACATGCTTTGTTGACTTACTCAATTTGTTGTTCGTCATCATTCGTGTGTATTACCGATGGCGACTTTTGATCGTCTAATGACTCAGCAAGAATTGAACTATCGGACGGAGAAACTGCGATTGGTACGGAATCATTCCATTGAACATCACCAAATTGAATATCTATTGGTCTTGTTGGACACTTTAGTATCGAATGCATTGATACAGGCTCCTGAGGAATGGATGATGGTATTGGGCGTTTTGTCGATAACGGCAATGAAGACTTTTTATGACTATTATCAAATTTCAATGTTGGTGTAGTACCATCAATAAATTCAAATTGATCAGTTGAGACCGATGCTATTGGTGGCGGTATACTGTCGTCTTTCGTTTTTGATACTGATGTTGTTTTATTATTAGCGTTTTGTTGTTTTGTCTCATTAGTGTTTGGATAATTACGATATGAATGATATGGAATATGCTGGTTTCGACCGGTAGCATTTCCTTAAAGAAAAAAAAATCATTATGTGAACTTGTTAACAAAGATTAATTTACCGCGTCGTGCAGGATATCCACGTAATGCTAATGAGTATCGATAATGATCTTGTCGACGTCTTCGCCTACCACTGTCACGTAACGATGGCGCAGGGGATGTATGCTGAGAGGGAGAATGTTCACTATCACTTTGTGCACTACCGTTTAACGTTTGATCAACGTGACTGTTATTAATAGTTTTCTTTTTATTATTTGATTTCGCTGTTTGCCAGCCACCATCCTACAAAATAATTAAATTGGTAAAGAAAAAAACACTTTATTTTTTTTTGTACCTCAAAATCGCCCGCTTTTATTCGTGCGATTGTATTTTGTATATTATAATCACATTCATGAAAGACAACAGCAATGACATCAAGATTAATGTTTTCACAGGCGTCTCGGATCTACAAAAATAAAATGGCCGGATGATGCAAAAAAAGGTCACGTAAATAAACAATTATATTTACAAGTAATATCTGTTTCTGAATAGCCGCATCATCGAATTTTTCTGGACGTAATCGAGCAAGAGGTATTTGATCGATATTATGCATTGTTGATGGCTGAAAATAATCAATTGTTAATGTCTGATTTGAAAAAAAAATAGTTGAAACAAAATATGTAACTGCATAAAAAATTAAAAAGAATTATTTGCGGCAACCTTTTATTTCTCGATGTCTGAAATGAATCATTATGTTAGTAATGAGTCACGGGATTTATTTGAAACATTTAGCTCGAACTTATTATTTTAGGCATGAAGAAACAAACTAAAGAGCAAAAGTCGTATCATGGTTTTCACAATCATGTTATTCGCGGAAACATGTTTTCTACATGAAAGCAACTTCGTTTCTCTTAGAAGAAAAGTGTTTTTTTTAAATATAAATGAACGCCGAAATGACTTACATCAGATCGATTCGTGTTCTTTTCTTTGTTTAACTTCGATGAAAGACTGGCCGTATTTAACTGAATAATAATAAATATGTTAAATTCTCAAATATTTTCATTGTAAAAACGTCATAGTTTAATCTCCAAAGAAAAAAAGAAAGCAATCAATATTCATAAATAGTAATTTTTTAATTTAATTTTTAACGTAAAATCTGTATTAGTTTCATCACGAGGGGAAAAAAACAGAACGACATTTCAAGGAATAGGAATAACAAGAGTTTTTTTCATCCAAAAAAATGCATCAACGATGAAATCCATGAATAATCTATGGATGACCAATAGAATAATGTTAAAACATTAATGCAGTTTTTCTTTTCAAAACTGAAATTTTCTAAATGGTAAAAGGTAATGAAACAATAAAAATGATTCTGGCATTCAGCCAAACAATATATGTTTGAAAATTCAAGACGGACGACGACGACACGATAATGATCGAATGAATTTTATTATTATAATTTTTTTCTCAGTTTTAGATCCAATCTACTTCATTATTCTTAAGTGTATTTTATTTCCATGGATATCAATCACACGACCGGCAATAAAATGCCGAGTCAAGAACATTTAAGTTTTATAAATAAATTAAATGATTCGAAAATTCCACGGCAAAGTCAATTAATTGTCAATCGTTTATTTATGAAAAATTTTCCTCGCGAAGTAAATTTCGTCAATGGAAAGATTCCAATTATATTCTTTTTTCGTTTATTAGACAACTGGTGCTGAAATCGAACAATGTTTTCAAACATTTGGTCCTGTACATGATGTGAAAATAATTGCAAAAGAAAATACGTAAGCATTTTCTCTAACGAAGAAAGTTTTTTTCCAAAAAATAATTTATTGATTTTGTTTTCTTCTAGACATTTTGCATTTATTTCATTCGTCAATGATAATACGGCATTGGATGTCTTACGGCAACATGCTATTGTGCCTATTACGTTTCAAAATCATCAGATTATATTAGCACCGGCATATAAAAAAATTAGTATTCCTTCAGCAATAAGTAAGAAGAAATGTCATCGAATCAAAAAAGCTCTTTACGAGCATCCCGGAGAATAACTATTCTTTCATTGAGAAAAGGCGAAAGTGACATCTCGAGACTTACAACCGCCAAAAAACATGACCTCTACTGATTCTTTTTTTATTTGAGCACGGGAATCCGGTCATATTTTCTATAGTAAAATTTGAATTACAATCTTCAGCATTGATTAGCACATTTTATTTTCTAGGTCCTTCATCATATTATTCTCCTCATGGCTCAACAATGACACCACCATCAACGCCATCCCGAGTAGCCATGAATGGAATGTCTCACCAACCATCGACACCCTACCATCACCACCAACAACAACCGCAAATGTCAACTCCGCAAGCCGTCTATCCACCTATATACTTTCCTGTTCAAGCAAATGTAAGTTTTCACTTTCGTACTTCGGTTCTATAAAAATGACATTTTCATTTTAGATGCCGTATCTTCCGATGACCGGTACTTATTTAGTACCTCAAGGCGGGCCACCACAGGTAGTTTAATTACAATGAATAACTTCTGATTTTGGTTTTTGGAATTATTTCTTTTAGCAATTACAACCATCATTCTATCCAACGTTTTATTCACATGGTGGCACTCATCAAGCCGCTGGACAATTATTCAATGGAGTAAGTCGTATTTTTTTTCTCATGGGAAGTTATTGAAAAATTTTGTTTCTTATTCTAGCAAACATATATTCAATCTCCATATATGTATTCCATGAGTCTACCTGCAATGCAAGGACAATATCAACTAACAACATCAGCCAATGATGTATCTATGACAAGCGAATATTGATTTGATAGTATTTTTTTTCCGGCCTCGATTTATATAAAAAAAAACGCCTTCCTACAATTCTTTCTTCTAGTATTTTTTTGCTCAGATCTCTTCTATTAACGAATGTCTCTAGAGAGAAAAACAACCTCTAAGTCGCTCTTGTGCTCTTCTACCAGTGTGTGTGTGTGCGTGCGTGTTTCTGCTTTACTTTCATTTGTTTGTTTTTCTTTGAGAGTTTGTGTGTCTATTGTTGGTGCTTCTCTTGCCGGTGTATTATCAAAAGGCATAATGTGAAACTTGTTCGTTTGACTATCTGTGTATACAGCGTGATGTCTTTCTTTATCATCTATTTTTTCCGTATCACGCTCTTCTTCCACGTCAGATAGTTCATACTCAAGAAAACTGATCCGGTTACTTCTTTTTTTCTGTCAGATATAAACATGCGATGCCATGATTTTCTCTTTTACTTTCATCTTCTATACCGTCGTCTGTAATAAAGATACAAAAGCGTAAATATTACTTGCTCAATTATTGATTATCATAAAAGCGAAACAGAAAAAGAACGGAGAAAGGCTTTTTTTCTAATATGAACCATCAGTGAAGTGCAGACAGTGCACCATCATAATATAAAAATAGACATGATGGTTGAGTAGAAAACTATATTCAATGTTGCGTGCATGTCGTTGAAATCGCTATTTTACAAGCATGATCGGTTCGAACACCGTCTAATCCGGTGACCCAGATATTTATCAAAGAAAAGATTCTCAAAGTTTTGCATTACATAGCAATGCATGCATATATTTATTCTAGATCGATGTATTGATCAGTCGTATATGTGTAGATTATGATTTCACTTATTGGTAAGTCACCATAGCAATGAACAGGATCAAACAGAATTTCATGTACTTTCTAAATAAATATATACGAGCTGAGTAAACATTTTATTCTGACTTTTTTTTTTTATCGACGAGACTTTCATCATAAAAATGTCTTAATCGATAAAAGTTTGTTTTCTTTAAGATGTTTTTGCCTGCGAGCGTTGTATTCCGTTTAAAAAAAGGCGCACCGTCATTTGTGTGCATTAACAAAAGGTTTATTTTAACAGTAAAAAAATAGAAGCTCGTCTGAAGTCCTCAAGTTAAAAAGTAATTGCGCTGTCGATAAACCAGACTGTTCTCTCATTAAACAGTAAGATAAGATTGCGTCGAAAATTCTCCTTCATACATAGATTATCTATAGAAAAAAACATGTTTGTTTTTATTTCTAACCCACATCTTTACATATTTATTTACTCGACATCAGCCAAAATTTTTTGCCCAGTGGTTCCTTTTTTTGCGTTCTAATAAAAAAACAAAACACATAGTGAAGTGTTAACTATTTTATTCCTTCCACTTCATCATCGTTATTACATCACTGTCTAGACGACGTCAGAGTGGCAACAACAGAGACGACGGTTAGTTACATGCTTTTATTTAGTCTATCGGACAAGATATATATATATATAGCTATATGTATGCATACTAAGTCAACGAATTAATAATGAAAGAACAAGTAAGAGCAACTTTACAATATAGATATTTAATAGAATAGTTTCCTGTGCATCGTTACAAAGAAACATTTTCTATGTGAACTCTATAGTTCAAATTAGACTTTATCTTCATTTTTCAAACCTGGAATCCGCATGACAACTTCTCTGAGAGTATACGCAGTTATATATGATAGAGGACAAAAAAAAAGAACTCGAGTGTCATGCAATTAAGTAAGACTATTTATAGTCGGTTTTGATGATGACAAGTAAAATGGCCTTGACGAGAGCATATATTAAGAGAGAGAAAACGGACGATGAAGAAAAATTTCAACACGATTGTTGTGCGTTTTCTAGTACCATTTAATTTTTATATAAATTTCTGCATGATATAATCTATGAACTGACAGCATTACTTTTTAATTCTATTTTTCACGTGAGTGAAAATGCTTTTTCTCTTACTGCTTCGTTTCTCGAAATATTTATTCAGCAGAGTACTATGCGTGTGAGACAAGAAAACTAATTTCCTGTAGACAGTAAAATTATAGTTGAGTAGTAAATTTTTTTCTCCCTACGCAGGTCTTTTACCGTTATAAGAAGGCTAGCTATAGAAATTCTAAATAGTTATATTCTAAACAGTTCTCTGACGTTTTGTTTTTGAATTAAGTGAAATATCCAGTATATAATTGAATCAATCTGAAGATTAACGACTGTATTCATAAATATACTGTTTATCTCTCGTTAGTTTTTATCGAAGTCCAGCAGACTAATCAACTCATAATTTCTTTTCTTTTCCTTCTTCATCACGAAGAACAATATGGTAAAACAGCACTTCTGCAACGGTTTATTTTTGTGCTTCTACCAGGCCGAAGAGAAAATCATCGCTGTGTTTAGAGGAACGTCGTGACCTAAATCTCGCCTACTTTTAAGTAATCAGTAGTGAACATGTTTTTGTCGAGACTGTGATCAATATCAATAAATATTGTTTTCTTTCGAAAATGAAACTTCGTCAGATGTAAATTGTTTTTTTTCTTATGTCTTCAAAAAAAAAACACTATGCCGAGACAAACTACATTTTTTTAACCTGATTTATCTCGATTACTATATAGGCCATGACATGGATAAAAATAGATCATCATTATGTTAATAGCTTATAGAATATAGGAAGCACAAAAAAAATTTCATGATTGAAATTATTTCTAGCTCGCGTTCTATATATAGAAATCATTAATTCTCGCATTTAGAGTAAGAAATTTTTTAGAAACATTCGATGATGCCGTTAAAGAATTAAAATAGTTTTTTTTCGTCCTGTCGTGCAAAACGAATGAATACTATTAATGATTAAAAACCTTCATTATTTTTACTCTCAAGTTAAAGACTCGATTGCATGCCGTTATTTTTTTGTTGTGTTTTTATCAATAATTAGTTAACGAAATTGATTATAGGTATTGTCTAGTGTACTGTTGATAACGGTCACTGACATGACGAGACGCACTTAGCAGAGTGCTTCGCATGAAAGAAAGATGATGATGATCAGACATTATATCATCGTAGACAGACGTCGTAACAGTGAAACGAGAACAAGAAAGAAAAAAAGAATCAGACACACAGAACATAAAGAAAAAGTAGCGACAAGATTGGACTGAGTATAGGAGAAATAGAGCGAAGAAAAGTATTTAAAAAAGTGCGTCTGTCTCTCAATGCTGCCAATTTCCTTCTATTTTTGTCATTGTGTGTCTCGTCCTGTATGCCACTGCTTGTAGTCACTCGGCTAGTTCATTATTAAAGTTGCAGACAACTCGTTCGTACATTTATTTGAGTAGACAATATAACGACTTCTTTCACAACATATAATTAAACTTTTTCTGTTTTTCATTAGATAATACTTGAACGAAACGAAATAGTTCATTGAGTACAGAACGTTTTTTCTCTCATTTCTTCCTTAATGATAATCATTATTGATAATAGGCTAAAATTATTAAAAAAAAGCCTAGTTTATACTTAAAAATGATTTTATATATCATAATTTTGTTGAAAGAATAAAAAACTGTTAGCGCAATCCACGCGATATTAAAATGTGACACACGATGAAACCCTTTTTCTGGAATCCGTCTATCGCGGTCAGTGATAGTCTGCGAAGCTTCTCTGTTACGGTCTGTATTATGATGTGCAGAGTCTCTAGAAACCATCATAGACTGTTATAGGGAAAATAATTAATTAATTTCTCTGTAACGATCTGTGGGGGAAGAGGGGAATGGGTCCTAATTTCTACCCTATATCCTTCCACACTCCTTTCAGATCGTGTTTTACAAAAAGATGAAAGAATCATGGTACGTATTCATTTAAGTAGCTGACAGGTGAGGATGAGCATCGTCTACTAATTAGTATTTTTTTCAAATCCCTGTACTCTTCTTCACCAGGGTTTCTCATTGATAAACATCATTTTTTTTTGAAATATACAATCAAAATGAAAATATATTTACGTTTGTTGTATGCATAAGACTAAATATAGAAATATTTACCAGATGTGGGTATGACTAATTTCAGTCTTGAAGCAGATAATTATTAGTATGGCGTTGCCCATGTTATAATTGCAAGCATATATTCTTATTTTCTGTTTGTTAAAGCAACCTAGTTATTATTATTTTTGCTTCTGACTGTTATATATATATATATATATACTTAAAAGTTCGTCATATTCCTTTTTAGATTATTGATGTTTATGTTTGAGCATCTGAATCATTTTTCTCTCCTTATTTTTTTTTAATAAATTTAAAAGCAAAAAAATTATAATCATAATAATTTATTTGTAAACTGGTTGATGTTTAATCGCCTTGCAAGAAAGATTTCTTGTTCATTGTTGGCGTTGCTGTTGATTGTGTCATCGTGATGACGTCCATTGGAACATCGCTCGTCAAATATCGATTATCTAGAACCATAAAAATCAAATCAACACTACAGCAAAAACACATTATTCTACGTCATCGTCATCGGATAAATTTACTTGAATGTAAGTAATAAACGTATAGACATATTTACATCAGTAAAGTTATATTGTTTGTCGCTCAATATGCGTTTAATATTGAATATAGATAAAATTTCAATGGATTAGTAATAATTGCGATACTGTTTCTTCGTTCTTTTACGTAAAACAGAAGAAATTTAATAAATATTGACTAACGAATTGTGCACATTAACATCGATGGCGAACGATGTATTTTTGTTTTTTAAACTTTGTGATATTGTTGTGTCTGTCTGAGTGCACGTTTTGATAGAATTAAAGTTGCTAATATATTCGTAATTGTTAAAATTATTAGAAAACATTAGGCAAATTATGATTAAGTCTATTTTCGTTTATCTATTGAGCATGAAAACATTCTCTGTAGTATGGAATGAAAATAGGCAGGGAAAGAAAATATCAAAGTATAAATAGAACATCAGACTGAGCACGTTATAGAAGCTTGATGTTTAATAGACAAGAGTAGAATTCTTTAGTTTTTGTGTCTTAATATTAATGAATTAATTTTTTAAATGGAGAATAGTCCTTCTAATTAAATATTTTTGCGTCACGGCCACGAATAAATACTTGAAACATGTCATCTTTTACACGCATAAGGAAAGTATAATCTAATTTCAAAAACAAACTCATAACATTTTATCAAGACTCAATGTTATGTTAGCATTCGAAACGGTAAAAGCAAGAATAATTCTTTTAATTTCTATTTAGTTCTTCGAAAAAATAATCATCAATATATCCTTGCTAATAATAGTACAATGTCGAAAGCCTTCATAGATGAACTTGATCATAAAATGCAACAAGTTCGTGAATACGCACTCATTGCCCATGGTTACCGTAATGAGAATATGCAATATCCTGTTCATGTTCGTCGTAGTCATGATGGAGAAAAACTATCGCGAACACCATCACAACTTTCAAAATCCAATCGTGATCATAGAAAAAATCCGCCGCCAACTACAACTATATTAGCTCCATCGTCGCATGAAAATTTGACTAAAATAAAACAAGATGAAACAGTGACAAGACATTTATCGTATGATGAACGTCATGCCGTATCGGTTGCGCCACCCAATAAAACTATTAATGATATCGATCCATCATTAAATCATGATAAACTTCATAAAAATAAAAAATCTTCATTGCCACCAAATGATGCATCTACAGTTTATTGTTCGTCAAGACCCCATTCAATTGCAGCTATATCCCTATCGTCAACATATGATCAACAAGTCAATTCGCTATTGAATTCAACCCAAACATTGATTAGCCAGCCGACGCCAACAAAAACATTGACACAGAGACTTTTTTCTAAATTTTTCAATGCGCCATCAAAGTCTTGATGTACAATTTATGATTATTATTTTCTTTGATCTTAGTTTTTCAATACAAAATCAAACAGTGCTTTTACTTTTGCAGTAATTGAGCGAGGATCTCAATCTATCACATTCATTTTTTTTCTCTACATATATAAATATATAAATATATACATGTATGTGTGTTTCTGTATAATTATTGTTGTTTCGTATGTTAAAATGTCATTATGGCGCGAAACAGTATTGATTTTTAATATTGTTATTTGTTTTTCTTTTCTGATTTTTCTTCCATGTTACGTCTGTGTTTCGTATTATGGATAGATTTTTTTTTGTGTTTGTTGCTCATGATTTCATAAAACAAACACATGATGAAATATATAAATATGAAGTTCATCAAGCAAGCAGTGACTATAAACTACTCGAGAGTTACTTATAGAAGTTATAATGAACAGACATCTAGACATGAAGAACTTTAACATGAAAATTTCATATTTAAGAGATTTTAAAGACAAAGTTTACTGTGTGTTTAAAAATATTTATCTTTCACCTCAGTGACTCATTATTTTTTGATAATAACATCTTACTGTAAGAGTCCCAGTAAAATCGAAAAACATTTTTTTCTTTGTTTCCTCTCGCTTACTTGAGACAGTATTTTCTTCATGGCTACGTTGCCGCCATAAAAACAAATCGGAAGATCAAAGCACTATTTGATTTGTCTAGCTTTTTATATTGCATCTCTTGAAACACAACTATAAATTAAACCAATCACACAAGAAAAAAGAAAACGAGCAGTGTTTTTTTCAATTGCGAGACAAAGGAATTAATAATTAAATATCTTCTATCTTATCATGTTGCAAGTCCTTTTTCTTTATCAATATTCAACAGTAAAGTATGTTGCTTCTGGTCTATAAAAAGAAATTCTGTAGACAATATTCTATTTGATCTATATTTAAATACACGCCTATTTAAAACAAAAAACCTCATTCGTTAAACAAGTGTTGAAAGTTCATCAGTTTTAACTAGATCAATATCATCATCACATAAATGAGTAGCATCAATCGTATGATAAATCGATGAATTCATTCCACCCAATTTCCCATCGATTCTATCATTTTGCCATGTTACAAAATACGTTAAAAGTGTCATTAGAATAAAAATTAAACCAAAACCAAGGACAACCAATGATACAATAGCCGGTATAAGTGACAAATTTAATAATATGAAAAAGCATATCACTAAAATTTTTAAAAAAAGTAAAGAAAAAAACTTTTTCCTATTCGTCATACCAAGAATGAATGCTGGTATCGATGCATAAAAACTACAAATAGCAATAAATCGTGATGTCGACGAACTAAATAAATGTGTGAAACTAAAAGAACAAAAAAAAACGTTTTTTTCTTTTTTTTAACAATAAGACTCTTACCAATGTGAACTTTGTCGTGTTTTTATCATATTACAACCAAGATAAATTTCAATGCTGAATATTAATACACAAAAACAGTTCAATACAATAATCAATAAACAAATGACTGTTGCCAATTCACGTATAGTACGATCGTACGCTGGTATTATAACATTTGACACCGTATCTGTTATAGATATTGACGCTGGTAACACATAAAGAATATTATATGTGACATTCATTGATTGAGCTATACGAGGAATCATGTCACGATTATTGACATAATTGATTTTTAGTATTAGATTCATTGTGGAAATGGCAATAAGTATAAGAGAAGCAGAAACAAAGCACATAAAACATAAACTTAGAATATTGGTGCCTTTACGCGAGCCAGATAATCGACGTCGGTCGGCAGTGGCTATTGGTATAGGTCTGTCGGATAGCGACTCACGATGACGAGCAATTTCAGTGATATTAACGGTCTCATGTCCGATAGATACTTTGTACGATGATGAATTATAGGCAGTCGTCGATAGCCGATTAACTAGTTGACTTTGACGAGCTTGAAAACTTGGTTCAGATTGACTTATTGGCGTTGGCCAATTCATGTCGAAATCAGTTGGTGGCGGAGGAATCGGCGACGGCGAAGATGCAGAGTCAACAAGTTGACTAATAAAATATTCGAAAAAAAAAGAAGAAGAAATATGACAAATTTTGTCTTTTAGTTGTAAAATAGTTTCAAGTGTACCTGTCATCACTATTCGGCTTCCCCATCAATAAGTGTTAGCGGCTGTATTGAATCAATACGACATCTCACTCATACTCTGACACTTTCTTTCATGTAACAAATAAAAAGAGAGAAAAAGAAGAATTTGTTACACATAGATCGACGCGACGTAGCAACTGTCTCGCAGTATGAATATTGATGATGATTATGGACAACTTTCAATACACAACCGTCAATTACACGACGCATAGGAAGACCCTTAGAGAATATACGTACCTCAAATTATTGGGAGGAATCGTTCGTTTCTTTTCTCTCGTATATATTTTCTCTCGAAATTTCTAATAAGCAAAAAAAAAAATATTAACACCAATTAACCGAACAATGCCACCATCATAATCATCATCTGCGCGAATAACATTCGACATCTAGTCTAGGGGCTCTCTGTATGATTCGTAAATTAAGCGAATAGAAAAAAAAATTAGTTCAATCATCAATCACATGGACTAGTTAGTCAATCAAAATCGAAGATTCTCCATCTGTTAATTTGATCTTTTGCCTTATGCGCTGTTAATCGATAGTGATATCAAGGTTAACATTCATATAAATTTGAAATGTAAATATTACGAAAGTACAATCAGTACATCTCTCAAATTACAAAAAAAAAAAACGAGTTGGAATTGAAATCAAATTTTTTATTCAATATAATTAGAATAGAAATTTTCAATGGATTCTTTATATATTAATAGTATTCTTTTGACATGCAGGTCCCATACTTTCTTCCCAATCAAAACGCATAGCAAGAGAACAGATTGATGAATAATTATATGTAACGACACATCACTATGCCTATACATCGGTACCTGTGACTACTTATAAAAATATCGAATAGTCAGCCCCATTGAAATAAGTGGAAACGGATGGCGACAATAGTCAGACGACGTGAATAGCAGTGTATATGTGATTTTTTTTTCTTCTTTTTCGTTGCTTCAAATCTTTGTCGCCATTGACATTGAATGAAAAAGTGCAAATGAATGACATTAAAGAACAAAGACGATGTCTGTATTTGTATAATAGACTTAAGTTAATGATCGTAACTTTTGATGGGCGTTATTCAACAAAAATCACAGATACATAAAATAACAAAAAAATTTCGTTGTCACATTTTGTTTTGTTAGCCGAAATAAAATAAATCAAGATTCTTCCTTCCGGTGAAATGATCAATAACGGCATGTACGGAAATGTAATGATTCGATACTTGTGCATTTATATTTATTGAATAAAGAGAAAAAGGAAATATTTTGTTTTTGTGTGAATCAAATTTTTGTTATTTAAGAAAATTGATTAGTTGATATAAAATAATACTAAATTAGGAAAAACATATTATTATCTCTGGAAATCTAATCAAATCGATGTTTTAGATAATTCTAAGATAAAAAAATGAAATCTTTTGTTGATACTATAGAAAATATAATATAAATATGCTGATTATTTGATTGATTAAAAATAAGGATAATTTTCTTTGTTATTTGAAAGTCATAATCATATTACGATATTGAATTCGGAACGGGCTTTCTTTTTGCGAAAATTTTTCTTCGCTCTATCTCTTGCTGTTTTTTTAATATTCTTTTGTTGTCTTTTAGCCTTGACTGACAGATAAGATGTGAACGATCTGAACTTGATATTGAACGAAGAAACGAGCCGCTACTCATTCTCTCTTGTCTTCCCTGTAGCCGGCCTATTATTCAGAGTATTTTATTAGATATGCTAATCAACCAAGAAATCCGATTTAGAAACGTTACGCTGCTCTCTTCTTCATCATCATCACTATCATCCGGAGCCATATGCGTGACTGTTCGATTGTTACTCTCTCTCTCTCTCTCTCTCTCTTTCTTGTCATCAGTTCTTCGTCACTCAATCCCTGTTGTCTTTGCCTTCTTTTTTCTTCAGCTAAGGAAAACAATACGATGAAGAAATGATACTAATATAGAAAAAAACTCTTGTTGACCTTATGCCGAGGAACAGGACAAACGAAACGAACATCAATATTAAGTTAACGAGACATATTCAATAGTCAGTCGATACGGTTTTAGAACTTAGATCTCGATAACGATTAACAGTTGATACAAAAAGAAAAAACACATAGAGATAGATAGATAGATAGATAGATATTCTTTTAACATCCGATTGCCAATTCTTTAAGAATCATAGTAAAAAATTCTATTCCCTAAAGTCTTTACATTTCTTTTTTCTCTCGTTTTCTTTTTTCTCTTGCTCTATACATGACAATTGTTCAAAAGACATCTGAGATGGAACGAAAAGGAAGACGATGATAAGAGATAGCAGGACAAAAAAGGATCAGATTAAATAAGCGATAGATGAAGAAGACGTTTTGCTGCTGCGTGATGTTCACCACCCTTTTCTAAATCAATCTATTTAAGTCGTTGACGCGCAACTATCCTCTTGTAATCATTTCGTCTCACACTACATAAAATTAGTTGTTGATTGATTGATCATAGTGTGAACAAGGATATATCATTGCATCGGAAACAACACGAAAAAAGCAAAACATCGAATGCAACTTATCTGTAAGTCAAATAGATCGAATAATAAATAAGAGGCGGGAAGAAAAACGTGTCGGCGATGCGGTTTTCTTTTTGATAATTGTGCACATCTGTCGCACCTAAAACGGGCCTACTTAATAATTATTGTAACGATTATTTATCATTTCCTTTTTTGTCAACTTTCTGATCGTTTCCTTTTTAACTATCTTAGCCATCAATGTTAATCAACGAGATAATTCTTTTATTTGCTGTTGTTTATTATTACCGTTATTCGTATTAGTGAGAAAGTATGTATAAACAGATGGTAAGTGTCGACGATAAGGATGGACTACAACTCGATTGTTTTTCGCGAGTTTACACCCGATTCCCTACGTCGTATTGAACGTTATCGACAAGAGGAAGCTGAACGCCTTGCTTCCGAACGATTACAACGACAAACAATACGCGAAGACGACAGTGAACCATACAGTTCAATGAGAACAAAATCCAAATATGAACAATACGGTCCAAAACGAAAACCCAATAAAGAATTGGCAGTTGGACAAACATTACCAAGAATATTGCAAACGAAATTTCCTGCGGAACTTATCGGTAAACCCATTGAAGAGATCGATTGGTATTATCGAACCGAATATGTATGTCATCTTCTTTCGAAAGAAAACAGAGATATTCGCAACCATTTTTCTAGGTATTTGTGGTGGTGAATCGAAATAAGACGATATTTCGATTTAGTTCAACTCCGGCCTGTTTTCTATTTTCACCATTTAACTGTTTGCGCCGTTTGGCCATTCGAATATTGACACATTCACTTTTCAGTACATTCGTTATGCTTACGATTTTAACTAATTGCATATTTATGACGTTGAAAAATGTACCGGAAACTAACGAGTAAGTCTCCTCTCTTAACATTTCAAAGAAAAAACAATTTCGAATAAATAGATACGTCTTTACAATAATCTATACATTGGAAGCGTTGGCAAAATGTGTAGCACGCGGATTTATTCTTAAAAAATTTACATTTCTACGTGATCCATGGAATTGGTTAGATTTTATAGTCATAACATTAGCGTATGCATAAAATTCGAGTTAGAATTCACTGTTGATTGTTATTCTTTAACTTTAGATATATTACATTTTTTGTCAACTTGGGAAATGTTTCCGTGCTTCGAACTTTTCGGGTATTGAGAGCATTGAAAACAGTTGCTGTTGTTCCAGGTAAATAGACATTTTTAGATTTGTTTCCATCGTGTGATTCATTTTTAGGTCTAAAAACAATCGTTGACGCATTGATACAATCTCTTATTTGTCTACGAGATGTTACTGTCCTATCCAGTTTTATTCTATCGATATTTGCATTGGTTTGATAGTTTAGAGATTCAGTTTGTTTTGCATTAATATATATTTATTAGGTTGGCTTGCAACTTTATATGGGCGTTCTAAGACAAAAATGTGTACCGACTTATGATTCATTTTTAAATAATTCCGATATTTCTTCTATCGGTCATAATATGTCATATGAAGCGTATTTAAAAGAAATCGATAATGAAAGTAGGTTGATTCGAGGTTTATAGAATCATAAATGATTTTTGCGTTTTGTAGCTCATTGGTATCAAGAAGATGATATTTTTGTTTTGTGTGGAAATGCCAGCGGCAGTAGGCGATGTCCGAAAGGTTATGTTTGTTGGAAAGATCGAGGCATAAAGTAAGTTTTTGTTCCTGCGAATGTTTTGTAAAATAAAAATTTACTTTTTCTTATTTTGTGATTTAAGTCCTGATTTTGGATATACGAGGTAGGAGTTTTATTTTTTGTTTATCATTAAAAAATCTTTTTTTTCCCTCTAGTTTTGATAGTTATGGCTGGGCTATGCTATCGTGTTTCCGATTAATGACACAGGATTACTGGGAAAATCTTTATCAATTAGTAAGAAGCTATTTTTGAATTTCACGCGAAAACGTCTTTTTTGCTGTCTGATGTGATATTTTCAGGTGCTGACAGCTGCTGGTCGTTATCATTTTTTTTATTTTGTTGCTGTCATTTTCTTTGGTTCATTCTATTTGGTAAATTTAATCTTGGCCATCGTTTCGATGTCCTATCAAGAACAACAACAGAAAGTCAACGCAGAAAATGAAGCACGCGAACGGCGTAAAGTTGAAGATGAACTCGAACAGCAAAATGAAGAAGCACGAAAAGCAAGTGAAGTCGATGCTGCATCAGCCGGCCCTGTTGAAAATTTACAAAGTGCGCTTTTCTTTGAAAATCCAAATCGTCAATCAACCCATTCGAGTCTTTCAATTGAATACGATCACAATAGATTGGTAATACTATGGAAATCAAAAAAAAAAAGATGAAAACCGATTTTTTTTCTCATTTTCAGAGATATAATCCTGAACATAAAGAATCAATGCAAACAGCGCCATTAGTATTTGAAAATTACAGCGATATGTTTTGCAATCAAACAACAAATACAGATGAACGTGGAAGTTTCGATACGACAATACCGTTTCTTGATGAAATACAACGAAATTCCATGAGTACTAAAAGTCATGAGATATCACCGAAACAACGAGCAAGAAATTGGTCTCGTATATCCGAACGGCAACATGCAGACAATGAATCCACTGTCACCGTAAATTTTCAGCATAGAATTCTAGATCATAATGTGCTTTTTGTCCTAACGAATTGAGGACGAATAGAAAAGCTTGAGTTTCAACTCATTTTTTTTTGCTTTGCTTCAACCGATGCCTTGATGATAGATAGAACAGAACGAGTGAACGACGACATAAATAGAGCTATTTATATGCTAATGCGAGAGGAATAACTCATGAGTCAAACAGAATCGTTAAATAGGCTGGTTTGACTCAGCTGAATTAATCACAGCGATATGTTAGAGAGCTGTTAATTAGGATATCGATATAGTTAAGTTAGCTCATCGAAATAATGCAAAAATGACCTATTTATTCGGGCTGAATGACATGGAAATTGAGTTAATGATTGATTTGATTTTGTCCCGCTTTTAGCAGCAATGTGGTTATTGCATATACATGCATGAAAGTTGAAAACCAACTTATCATATATTATTTTATTGGTTTATGAGTCATATCGAAGATTTACGCCTAGAGATGTGAAAAACCAATTCCCGCCAAGAAGAAGTAAACGGCATGTAAAAACAAATAAAAATATTGAAGAAGTTCTGCAAACATTTTCGCTCTATAGAGACATACCATAGAAAATCTAGAATCACCGAGCCCGTCTATTAAAGACACTTGCGGAGACGGCTACTTTCCGATCTTAAGAAAAACGTCGAATTTCTGTAATCTATCCATAAAAGATCATTTCATTGTGCATGTAAAATTCATTGGAATATTTTTCTTTTAGCTTTATCAACCAAAATCTCATATAAAATATACCCCTGCCAATCAACTTTTATCACATCCAATGTCTGAAACGACGAGTATACGATCAAAAAGTAAGTGAAATACATGTCTAATTGATAGTTCTAGTATTTTAACTAGAAAATCAAATGTAAAAAAAACTTCACGATTATATCTAGAAGATTTTGCACTTAGTTAATTTAAGTAGAATTCTATAATTTCACACTTACCTATTTACATTTTCAAGTAAGATAGAAAATTTTAAATTTCCTTTCCCTTTACACCCTATTTTATTTTTGCAACACATCTGACAGGATACACGTATGATTTTATTTTATTTTAAATTTAATACGCATGTTTGTAGTTTTGTAAATGTTTTGTTTTGTTTCGATTTTGTTAATCATCTAGAACAGCATTCTGTACTGTACAAGGTCGATCGACATTCTGACGACCGACACAGTTCACATGTTGAGTGTCGTCTACTTCTGAATGCGAATGAGCATGGAAGGCAGTCCCAGCATCACCCTAAGAAACGTGTGACCATCGTCATTTCAGATATGGACTCAACGAACACATGCGATCGACCAATGATAAAATTTCTATGGAATTTTTGCTGCGAATGGAGTTGTACATCGCAATTATTTCATAAATTTCAAGTCGGTTTTTATTCAAGATTGACTCGTTTAGGCAAATATCGATTTTTTAGGCGCTGGTAGCGGATTTTATATTGGATGCATTTGTTGATTTGTTTATTACTATATGTATTATTTTAAATACATTATTTATGGCACTTGACCAACCTGGCCAAAGCGATAAAATGGCACGAATACTAGCAACAGGAAATTATGTTTTTACTGGTATATTTACAGCAGAAGCTATTTTGAAGATCATCGCGCAAGCGCCGGCTAAATATTTTAAACATGGATGGAATGTATTTGATGCGATTATAGTCACACTGAGTGTGGTTGAATTAGGTCTTGCGAATGTCAAAGGATTAAGTGTTTTACGATCATTTCGTTTGGTATGTTTAGGAAATTATTTTTCAATTAGTAGTTTAGATTGTTGTTTTTATTTTCGATTCTAGCTACGAGTTTTTAAATTGGCTAAATCCTGGCCAACACTGAATCGTTTAATGTCGATCATTGGTAAAACTATAGGAGCTTTAGGGAATTTGACATTAGTTCTTGTCATTATTATATTTATTTTTGCTGTTATGGGAATGCAGGTAAGGTCAGATGAGTATAAGGAAATTTTTCTATTGTTCAATCGTAGCTATTCGGTCCGAAATATGCTCAAAAATTCGGTAAAGATATGCCCCGATGGAATTTTGTCGATTTTTTTCATGCATTTATGTAAGTCTTGTTTATTTTTATTAAGAGAAAATTTTCAATTTTTCTAAAGGATCGTCTTTCGTGTATTATGTGGCGAATGGATTGAATCAATGTGGACATGCCTTGAATGTGCTGGTTGGCCATGTGTACCATTTTTTCTTTTTACATTTTTCATTGGTAATCTTGTGGTACGTAGACCAGTATAACGTATCTTTGTGAGTACAGCCACACTTTCCGGCTACGAAATATTTTTTTCTTCTTCGAAATTCTGATTCCGGCGCAGTTTAATAGGGAAAGGTGCTTCAGTAGTACGATAGTGTTTTATTCTACCTGAGGATGATTACAGACATTAAAGATTTTTTGTTAGGTTTTAAATTTATTTTTGGCTCTTTTACTTGCATCATTTGGTTCCAATGTTCTTTCTGAACGTGAAAAAGAAGATGATGATAATAAAATCGGCGAAGCCATTGATCGTATTCAACGATGCATTCGTTTTATTTTAAATTCTATATTTCGTTTACTTTGTCGAAGAGAACGAAAAGAATTAAAAATTGTTGAAAGTTTGACCTGTGAAACAATTTATTTCAATCAAGTTTGTTTGATTTTTTTCCGTTTTGTTTGTCATTTCTATGTTCCCAATGTGTTTAGTCATTGGCTGGGACTGACGATCTACTTCACAATCCTTCTTCGTCAACATTACTCGATATTGATAATGCGAAAGATAAAAAAAATGGTCAATTAATTCTAAAAGACGAAGGAGCCGAAACCGTCGAAGATATTGAGATGCAACTTTTAAATACTACTACTAATGATCCTTCTACGCTGTTAAATCCAACAGCGCTTACAAACGATGAAGAACTTCACATGCCACCTGATTGTTGTCCAAAATTAATATCGAAGCATTTTGCTTCTTGCAAAGATATGGTTCCGAAAATAATTGAAAGGCATTGGACGTTCCTTCGTAGCAAAGCTCATCGTCTTGTTGAACATCGTTTTTTTGAATGGCTTATTATTGCAAGTATTTTAGCAAGTAGTACTACTTTAGTAAGTTTAAGAAATATTTGACTACAGGAGAAAATATGAAGATCGTATTTTGTCTTTCAAAGGCATTGGAAGATATAAATACGCGACAACAACCTTTTTTATTTTCTATTTTGCATTCGTTTGATAAACTTTTTACGATTATATTTACCGCTGAATTAGTTTTAAAATGGTTTGCATATGGAATAAAAAATTATTTTACAAATGGTTGGAATTGGCTGGATTTTCTTATTGTTGTTGTTAGTGTTCTTGGAAGTTTACTTGATTCGCTTGGTGTCGCAGATATTCCGGCATTTAAATCGATGAGAACATTAAGAGCCTTAAGACCATTGAAAGCACTTTCGAGATTCGAAGGAATTCGAGTAGGAAAAGAAAAGAAAAGAAATTCGTTGCTTTTTTAATCATTGCATTTTTTTTCGATTTAGGTCGTTGTCAATGCATTGATCGGTGCCATTCCGTCCATTTTTAATGTTTTACTTGTTTGTCTTGTCTTTTGGCTGATTTTTTCAATCATGGGCGTACAATTGTTCGGTGGAAAATTTTACAAATGCGTTTACGTTGATACACACGATCGAGTTAATCTAACGGAAAATGTAACCAATAAGATTGATTGTTTGCATAAAAATTTTACATGGGAAAATTCAAGAGTAAATTTCGATAATGTTCTTAATGGTTATTTAGCTTTATTTCAAATTGTAAGTGATCAGTCAGAGAAAACGATTTGCACTGGAATGAATGGAACTCTACGCATGACTATGATTAATCAAATCTGTACAGATGATATAATTTAATAGAGCAGAAAGTTCTGAAAATAAAAGGGCCAGGCTGTAATATAGCTGTAAAAATAAAAATCACCGGAAACGAGTTCGGGATCACTAGAGAGAAAAAAGTTGTCCTTATCGTTCTGTGATTGTAAGTGAATTAGCTTATAAATCCGAACATGATTCACGTGAAATAATTTGAAAGTGCTAGCCGTCGACTAAATACATTAAATTACAAATATCGAAGAACTGTTCTAGACGTGATACGAATAAATCTTCGAATAGTAGTTGGTCTCTAGACTATAATAGGGACGAAATTAGATTTGCCGGAATCACTAACAAAACCATGCGCTCACGCATCTCTCGTACATGACACATGAAATTCAATCGAATTCTTTTTCTAATTTTTTCGTAGGCAACTTTCAAAGGATGGATTGAAATAATGGCCGATGCAGCTGATTCTAAAGAAGTGATTTATTTCTTTTTCTGCTAAATATTTTCTTCTCTATGAAACTTTTATTTTTATTTAGGTTGACGCCCAACCGGATCATGAATCGAATGTTTATATTCTTGTTTACTTTGTTTTATTCATTATATTTGGCTCATTTTTTACATTAAATCTCTTTATCGGTGTTGTTATCGATAATTTTAATCAACAAAAACGAAAAGTAATATTCAGTTTTCTGTAACACAATATTAGCCATTCTAACAACTTGTAGCATAGCGCAGTTATATCTATAGAAAAATGATATTCTAAAATAGATGGATTTACGGGCGGCATGTTTCAAAGTTTATTTTTCTTCTAGTTAGGAAGTGGTGGTTCAATTGAAATGTTCATGACTGATGACCAAAAAAAATATTATAATGCTATGAAAAAAATGGGTAATAAAAAACCGACCAAAGCATTGCCAAGACCAAGAGTAAATCTTTGAAATAATTCCCTAATATAGTTTGATCTATTTATTTCTATTATAGTTTCCTATTGCAAGATTCTTTTTTGATTTAACAACCAATCAAAAATTCGATATATTTATCATGATATGTATTTTTCTTAATATGCTTTGCATGTGTCTTGAACATCACAACCAAAGCGTAACTTATGATAACGTTCTTGGCTATATAAATAATTTTTTCGTTGCTATGTAAGAAGATTCTATAGGCGATTGCAAATCTACTGTTTCTATTTAGATTTACTGTTGAATGTGGAATGAAATTACTTGCATTGCATTATAAATATTTTACTATTCCATGGAATGTATTCGATTTTATAATTGTCATCGCATCGATTCTCGGTAGGAATTCTTTTCTCGGTTATTTTTTGTTTTGAAAACTAAAACGAACTCGAGTCCCTATTTAGTCACATCTTTGGAAAAAGGTTTGATTCTACAGTAAAGCGTTCTCTGTTGCGCGCTATTTAAATGTGCACTTCTTGCTTTCCTATTTATTCATTTTCCTTTTACATAAGAATGGGGAAACTAAGCGCTGCTACTGTTTATTCTATTTATTGGATTTTGGCTGATACACAGAATGTTTTCGTTCTAGGACAAGCACTAGGTGAACTTATGGCAAATTATTTTGTTAACCCAACACTATTACGTGTTGTGCGTGTGGCACGCGTTGGTCGAGTTCTACGTCTTGTTAAAGGTTATTGTGCTTTATGCGCTAGAGGCAATGATGATTACATTGCTGTTTCCTTTTGTATTTAGGAGCAAAAGGTATTCGCACATTGCTTTTCGCGTTAGCCGTTTCAATGCCAGCTCTATTTAATATTGGTCTACTTCTCTTTCTTGTCATGTTCATCTATTCGATCTTTGGTATGTCATTTTTTGCTTATGTGCGAAAAGCTGCAGGCGTAACTGAAATCTTCAATTTTGAAACATTTCCAAATTCATTGATTATTCTGTTTCAAATGTGTACTACGGCTGGTTGGTCAGGTGTTTTACAAGCCTTAACCAATGATCAACCGCCAGATTGTGATCCAACTTTAAATACGCCATCGCATAGAGGTGATTGTGGTAGTATGGCTATTGCAATACCATTTCTTGTTAGTTATCTAATTATAAGTTCTCTTGTTGTGGTAAGAATTTAGAAGATTTCTTTGTTTTTCAATTTGTCTACTGGTTTGCTTTTGTTTAAGGTTAATATGTATATTGCGGTCATTTTAGAAAATTTTTCTCAAGCTCAAGAAGATGTACAACAAGTAAATAAACACGAGACCTTAGAGGAGACTTTTTAATAGTAAAATTTTACACAATATTTCAATCTGAATAAAAATTCTCCAGGAAACATTCGCAAAGACTTGTGTTCGCGTAGTTCCATCCTCAAGATTGTCTCTTAAATTCTGTCATATTTAGGGTTTAACTGATGATGATTATGATATGTATTATGAAAAATGGCAATACTTGGATCCAGCAGGCTCTCAATTTATACGCTACGAACAGTTATCTGACTTTGTCGATGAATTAGAACCTCCATTGCGCATACCAAAACCAAATCAGCTATTACTGGTTGCTATGGATTTACCTATATGTGAAGGTGATCGTATGCATTGTGTTGATATACTTGATGGGCTTACAAAACATTTTCTTGGTACACTCGATGTATCAGCATTAGGCACGGGCACAAATATTGCTATGGATATGAGAAAAGATCGCCCAAAAGATTATCGACCGATAGCAACAACATTGCAGCGTCAACGAGATACCTATTTAACTCGCATTGGTTTGCGCGGTTTTCGTACTAATGTTGAACGAAATCGATTTCAACGACAAAGTCGTGGACCAGTACTTGAACGAGCTACCATTGATGAACTTATTGAATTAGATGATTTAGGAACGCCAACCTCAACGATGTCATATCGAAGTAAAATTATTAATCCAGATTCAATGCCAATAGAACAACAACAACAACAACAACAACGAGAAAGAACTCCGTCGGATACATCTTCAAGTTTTTCTTTTGAAAGAAGATCATTATCTTGATGTAACCATTCAAGCAAATGTTTATTGAATATTCGTTTTTTCTTCTTTTAGACTAGGCTTGTTTGTGATATAATAAGATTATTCCATGCAGAATTATATATTCTGATCTGAAATAATAAGATTTTTGATAAAATTCTATCTTTCAAGAATAGAGAACTATATTATTATTATATTATTGTACTCTTAATTGATTTTCTCATATTTTCCAATCAAAATAAACTTTTTACATCGAAGACATTGCATTAATAATCATTCCATTGATACGATTGCTAACAACTCAATTCGTTCTTTTCTTTTAGGCAGATTGCGAAAAATTGTTAGTATAGAGAAAAGCATCAGCTGTATATGCCAGTGTGCAACGAGATATATAAAGAAAGCAAGCTTGCTGTAACTGTCGATGAATATTCAATCTCGCAAACAGACATGTTATAACATTAATGAAATAACCTATTATCATAAATAATTTTCTTGAAAACTAGGCTCATGGTGGAATAGCAAACAATAAAAAAAGCACACCCACACCCTTTTCACGCTATTTAGAGTTTCTTTCATACGATTTTTGATGCGAATAAAGCTCGGATCATTCCTGTTAATTTCAACTAACTTACATTCTTCTTTTTTTTTATCACCCCGTTCTTTTGGCATTCTCAATTCATCATCGTTATCAACTTTCATTTTTAAAATATCTTGAGCATATATAACAAGTAACAACTCCTAATTTTTATTGAATAATAGGCAAAACGTAAAATAAGAAAGGAGTCTCTAGAAATTGCCATTTTGAAAAATATTTTTTGGTAACGACAGATTTGTTTGTGTTGCTGACAAGTAATATTCGATTTTAAA